AATTCTATAGAAAAAAGTCTTAGTCTCTGTCTATGAGCTAAAGCTTAAACAACATGCATAATGCAACGTGAAAACAGCCCTAAGCACCCAGGTAAATCTACAACATAATTGCTGGAGTAAAACAAGTATTTTGGAATGCTTAAACCAGATGAAATATGCCATGATCTAAAGTGAGCAGTTTATATGAAAAACAGTCCTAACATAGCAAGAGATTGAAGCAATTTTGTAAAGGGGACATGGGCCAAAATACCGACAGGAAACATGTGAAGTGATTACTGCTAAAGGAGGGTCCTGGGTTATTGTATCTAAAGTTTCATATACTGTACTTCACAGCCAGTTAATATTTGCTAAGTAGGTTTAGTGAAGACAGGTCACAGTACATTGCTTGGGTGGTGTTTCTTCAACCCTAATCTGTTTTTTTGAACTTGGATGAAGTTCAGTTCATACTGTAGGCTACAGTTCTGCAGTATTATAGAGTAAGGAGAAGACTAACAAAGGCTTGTTTCTCAGTAGCAGTGCTAAGTAAAGATCTAGATGTCATTCTCACTCGTAAACTTCAGAAAAGCTATCAAAATCGAGTTCAGAAGGATATTTGGAGATTGAGACCCAGTTTTGGGTTCTTAAAACTATTAGTTTTAATAACAATGTTAGCTTTGTAGTTAAAAATTTTCTGTCTTTTTTATATTGCGTTTTATGGATTTGTATTTTGTTTTCTGATTTTAATTATATACTATCATGGGTTCTTGTGTCGTGAAAGTATAAAGTAGAATGAATTAATAAAACACCTGTTTTCAGTTGCAGTCATCCATTGCAATCTATTAAACAAGGGTTGGGAAATATATTTATTCTAATAAGTCTTAAGGAACAATTATTTCAAGACGTATACAAAATTTTCAAAATTTGAAATGTTTGAGTACTCAAAATACTCTCTTATGGGCCCGTAATAACTGTTTTCAATTTAAAACAACCTGTTCTTAATAGCATTCCAACTTTACTAGTGCGCTGATTTTTAATGCTACAAAACAACATGGGAATATTGTCAGTTTAGATTGTTTCTCACACTTCTAGTAATAGTCTTAATATATATGAATACAAAATTCCAGGCCACTTAGAATTTTTCATCTAGATCCGTGATGGTGAACCTATGGCACGTGTGCCAGAAGTGGCATGCAGCGCCCTCTCTGTGGGCACACAAGCCATCACCCCAGTTTAGTTCTGCCACGCATGTGCATGCGCGCTTTGGGCACTTGATCCGGAAAAGATTAGCCATCACTGATCTAGATGCTAGTATTTGATATTTTTTTATTGGGGAATACCTACATTTTGGAGGTGCATGGGATGGTACATATTTTGAGGGCTTTTAACTTTCTGAAATCATGTTTTATGAAAAATTGTTATGTTTATCTAAATCCATACAATTATAGAAACAAAAAAGCATAGAAATGATGGAAAATAATTTTTGAAATAATTACTGATGACAAAATATTCATATATTTTATCCAGTAACTGATCTTGGGCCAGTCAGTCTTTCTTAATCCAATTCACTTTACAGGGTTCTTGTGGGGAAAATAGGAGGAGAAAGGTGTGTTGGATATGTTTTGCTGATATGTTTCAGTTATTTGTATAAATAATAAAGGCATGAAAAAAAATAAAAGGTTTGTTGTAGCTTTAAAATATTCTATGATTATAGAATTATTTAAGTAGTAATTAACAATAAAATACAGACTAATATTCAGGTAGTCCTTGATTTATAACTCTAATGGAGCCTGCCCATTAGGCAGGCTCCATTGAGCCTGCTTAATGATTGGCATAATTCTTGATGGTCATAAAACAGGCTGGTTGTGTGACTGACACAATTATATGATGTTCTTTGCAATAGTTAAGCGAATACCTGCTCATCAGTGATGGTTAATCTTTTTGGCACTGAGTGACGAAACTGGAGTGCACATGCATGCCAGAGCACCGGAACCTGGAAGAGAGCAGCTGGCCGGTGCGTATATGAATGGCGGCCAGCTGCTCTTCCAGGTTCCGTCGCACACATGCTCTCTTCTGAGTTCTGGCGTGCATGGTCGGTGCGCATGCGCCCTGGACCATCTGTCTGGCGCACATGTGCGCGCTGGAACCCAGAAGAGCATCTGGCGGCAGCGCATGTGCTCACAGGGCTCTGCATGCTACCTCAGTGCCATAGGTTCGCCATCACAGGCATGGGTCAACTTGTGCAGAAAGAATGAAATTCCTCTAAGGTTGAAATTTTGCAAAAAAAATTTTTCCTTTTTAATTTTTTTATTAAGTTTATCAAAGGATATAATAAAAAAAGGGTTAGGGAAAAAAAGGTTAAAGAAAAAAAATTGGGACTCAAAAAGGAAGAAAAAGTGAAAAAGTAACTTTCAACTTTCTTCTGTACAGATATAAAATAGATTAACCTGTTACTCTAAAATCAACAATAATGCACAGTAAATAGTTCTAATTATCAAGTCCCAAAATTAAAAATTAATTTCTTTCAGGTTCTACAAGAAGTCCAACAGTATTTTCAAAGTTGGACAAGGCCTATTAATTAATCACAGTATAGGTCTGTGGTGGCGAACCTATGGCACGCGGAGCCATATCTGTGGGCATGCGAACATTGCTTTAGCTCAGCTCCAGTACGCATGCGAGCACTGGCCAGCTGATTTTTGGGCCTTCCGGTCCCATCGGAAGTTGGGAAACGGGCCGTTTCCAGCCTCCGGGGCTGGTGGTAGGGAAGGCCATTTTCACCCTCCCCAGGCTCCAAGAAAGCCTCTGGAGCCTGGGGAGGGTGAAAACGGGCCCACCATGCCATCATGTGCCAAAAGTGGGGGGAGTGGGGGTGTCATGCGTGCATGCGCGTGGGGGCGGGGCACATTGAATTATGGGTGTGGGCACGTGCATGCATGACACCCTGCTCTCCCCCCACTTTTGGCACGCGATAGCAAAATGATTAGCCATCACTGGTATAGGTAGTCCTCAAGTACACAACCATTCGTTTAGTGACTGTTCGAAGTTACAGTAGTACTAAAAATAGTGGCTTATGACTTTTTCACACTTACAACCATTGCAGCATCCCAGTGTTTATGTGATCAAAATTTGGATCATGCTTCACAACTGGCATGTATTTATGATGATTGCGGTGTTCCAGGGTCATGTGATCAACTTTTGTGATCCTCTGACAAACAAAGTCAGTGGGGAAGCCAGATTCATTTAGCAATAAATCAGCATAGGTCAATCAAGATTGTGTAAAATTCCTATGACATGTGCAGTATTTGAAACCTCTTACAAAAACCAGTTAAACTTATATAGCATCTTCATCTAGGATTATATTTTACATGCAGGTCAAAAACATGTTAATATTGTAATGTACCTGAAGAAGCATTCTGTAAGATGCCAGTATATCTGAAATCTAGCTAATGTCCATATAATAAGGATCCGATAGAATCAGATTAGCTGTTACCTCTGTAACACGGAAAATTCTATTACAATACTTATTTTTTGGAGTTTGGCTTTAGTTGAAAAAATTGAGAAAGATGAATCTGAAAATTGGGCAGAAAAACCTTTCAGCAAATATGAATGAGACAGCAGCCCACATTGTATTCATTCATTTAGTCATCTTATATCTCACTGGCTCATATTAACCCCTCCTCCCGCCAAATCATAATAAAAGCAGAACAGTTACAATATGCCAGACCAGCCTGCTGTCAACCTCCTGGCTCATCCCCCATCGTTAGCCCTCCATGATAGACCAAACTTGGAAACAGATATGTAAATTAATACTACTTTTATTACAAAATTATGGTGACAGAACGCTGCAAGTCTAAATGCACTTCTTCCCTTCCCTTATTTTCTTTATTTTCATAGAACAGCAGAAGGTCATGTCTGATACACATTTGCAAATTACTGCTCTGACTATTATCTTAATTTATTTTGCTTCTCTTGCTTATGTTCTTCAAGGTTATTCCTTCTTCCCTTTACTCCCATCTTAGTCCAGTGTTTGGCTGTCTTCGCAACTTTCCAGACCTACTAACCTTTTATTTATCACATTTAGGAACCGCCCATCTCCCTCCCAGAGGGACTTTGAGCATTGTAAAGTAAAGTGAAAACTAAATATAAAATTTAAAATACAGTCGAGGCAAGGATAGTTAAAAGTGACACTAAAAATTAATTAAAAGGCAGGAGAAGGACTATTGGGCTCATTTGTGAGTCCCAAGTGAGGTGGCAGAGTCAAGTATTTAGATACTTTCAAAAGGAAAAGAGAGTGAGGGCCTGCCTCATCTCTGGCGGGGGGGGGGGGAATGTTCCAAAGGGTGGGGCAACAGCAGAGAAGGCTCTCTTCCTGGACACTGCCAATTGGAATTCTTTAACTGATAGGGTTGCTACCGGTTCAGTCCAGATCTTGAGAACTGGTAGTAATGGTGGGAAGCTCCGCCCACCCGCCCAGATGTCATCATGGACGCTCTGCGCATGCGCAGAAGCTTCTGCACACACGCGCGCACACCCCAGTTGCAAACCGATAGCGAAGGTAAGTGGAACCCACCCGTGGTCCACAACATACCTACCCTACCTGACTGGGTGAGAGGAGCTAATGTGAAGGGTTAAAGGGTAGGGGATCCTTCGAATTTCAATTGGGGCTCTATTTCACAGGGTTGAGGTGGCCACAGAAGGTATACCTCTGAAGTCCATTGCAAATGCCAATCTAAGTAAATTCGCATGATTCATTTTTACTATTTTTCTTTTTTTTTTCATTTTTAGAGATTAAACAGTCCATATATAATGGAAATAATGTAAATGCGTAGCAATATTCAGTTAAGAAAGGGTAATACTTAACTAATTTTGCCTTTCTCTTATGTTTTTATATAATTTCTTGTTCTTTCTCCTTTTAAATAGAAAATTAGAGAAAATGACTCTTATTTTCTGATGGAAGACATTTTCATCTAATTCTGTTAAACTTGCTTACAATTTTTAATTGTAAATTTTTATCTTGTTTACAGAGCAAACTTGATGATTATCAAGATCGAATGAACAGAGGAGAACGCCTTAACCAAGATCAGCTGGTAAATATTTTGATTGATAATTTCTTGTAATTTTGTAAATATTTAAAAAACTTTAGACCATATTATCTCATTTTATTTTAGCTGTTGCAGTCCTGTAAATAACTGGCCCTTACAATTGTGCTTTTTCATTATGTACAGCATCATATACCTTATTTTTCAGAGTGTAAGATGCAACTTAGTTTTGGGGAGGAAAATAGGAAAAAAAATTCTGCCTACTAGATATTCATCTGGCTAGCGTCCTTATTCTGGTCAGCTTCAGCACATTAGTTTGCTGTTTTTTATCCCCTGCTTGGGGATAAAAAAACAGCTTCTAAAGCACAACTGATCTTTGGAGAGAGAAGCAATGAGAAAAGTAGGCAAACCATGGAGATCGGTTTCACTCGTTAGGGCTGAAAAAAAGCTTCACAGCTGAGAGTTGGAGGGAGCAGGCAAAGCAGGGAAGATCCCTTCACTGAAAAAAAGCTTAGCACGCTAGTGCCTCATTAGGGCTGAAAAAAAGTTTCGAAAAAGTTACATTTGGAGTATAAGATGAACCCAAATTTTCAACCTCTTTTAGGAGGGAAAAAAGTGTATCCTATTCTCCGAAAAATACCGTATATGCTTTTCATTTTATTCCTGTTATTTGAGCTGTGGTGGCGCAGTGGTTAGAATGCAGTACTGCAGGCTACTTCTGCTGACTGCTGGCTGCCTACAATTTGGAGGTTGACTCAGCCTTCCATCCTTCCAAGGTCGGTAAAATGAGGACCCAGATTGATGGAGGCAATATGCTGACTCTATAAACCTGTTAGAGAGGGCTGTAAAGCACAGTGAAGTGGCATATGAGTCTAAGTGCTATTGCTATTTGAAAGGCAAAAAAATGTTGCAAATTAAGGGAAAGAAACTGCATGATTGAATGTGTTCAAGAAGTAGGAATCTTTTTTATTATTATTAAATTTTATTAGTTTATCAAGTATAAAATTCAAAGAAAAAAGTGGAAAACTAAGAAAAAGGGGAGAGAAGAGAAAAAAGATACAGTGTAAAGGGAGAAAAGGAAAGAAAAAGGCACCAACTTCCAACTCTCTTTAGCACAGTAGAAGACAACAACATTACAAGCACAACTTTTTGCTTTTACACAACAGTAAGTACAAGCCATTTCTATAACAACAAGCCTATCTAATTAACAAAAACAAAATCAAAGTTTCATTTTTTTTCCATTGCAAGCACAAAATCCGGATTAGAAACAGGGTTAAATGTATTCTCTTCTTTGGATAAAAAAATCACTTCAACCATCTCTGCTTCTGTTTGCTGGGGAATAATATATCATTTTTTAATACCCTAAAGGGATAAAACACTTTTTTTAGTTTTGGTATTTTACTAATTCTAAAAAGTACTCAGGTGTATTATATATAAAGGAGAAAAGAGAAAACCCTTCATTTTAAACCCAGAACCCAATCATAACACTATATTAGAACTTTCATTCAGTTATCTATATCACACCAATATAAGTCCAATTAACTCCATTTAGCTAATTAAATTCGAATCCCTCCCTCCAGTTTATCCTCATGGAATGGATCTTTTTCTTCTCTTATTTTCAAATCTAGTCAATAGTATTTTACAAACTTTGGACATTATTCAGCATTACTTAAAAAAAATGGGAGACATGCATTTACATACTCTTTTTATACATACAAAACTAATTGAAAACTTTCTTTCAATACATATATCAAACTTTTAAAAATCCATCCTAACTAATCTAGGTTGTCCCCAAAGAATAAAGTATTTTTCTTCTCAGGAGAGTCTGTCAAGCCTCTTTTCTTGAAAAAAAAATCTCAGCTTTATTTATATCCATTTTAAAAAAGTCCCAAAGTTGTTCTGTTGGACGTTGTAATTTAGTCTGAAGCAAGTCTTCCCAGATTAAAGTTTCGCTAAAATGACTATCATATTTTTTTTCTTCAAAGAATTCTCGACTTTGTTAGTATCCATAAATCAAAAGTCCCAGACTTGACCTCTTGAGAGTTGTGCATTTACTTGATACTCTTGTTTCATTTGCACTAGGAGGGTTGTACTCAGTGGTGAAATCCAAATTTTTTTACTACCAGTTCTTGGTGACCATGGTGTGGCTTGGTGGGCGTGGCAGGGGAAGGATACTGCAAAATCTCCATTCCCACCCCACTCCAGGAGGATACTGCAAAATCCCCATTCCCTCCCCACTCTGGGGCCAGCCAGAGGTGGTATTTGCCGGTTCTCTGAACTATTCAAAATTTCCACTATCGGTTCTCCAGAACCTGTCAGAACCTGTTGGATTTCACCCCTGGTTGTACTCAAACCATCATCATACGAAAAGCTGATGTCAGATTTATATTCTGAAGGTACAGTTAGGTTATTTGCATTGTCCAGTATTTGTAAAGTTGACAGAGTGGGTTGATAATTTTCTACATTGTGTCTCTTGTTCTTTTTTAATATCTTCTGTATAATTAATATATTTTGGCTGTTTTACAAACAGGATGATCTTCTGTATTGACTGTTCAAGGATTTCCTTAATAATAGACTTCAGCTCAGAATTAAGCATCCTCATACCTCCCTCTAGTGATCAAAGACTGTTATTTCTTCCTTCCTTTCTTTCTTTTTCATTTTTCTAGCCAATCAGACTTCATAAAAATCGGCAAATTTCAACCACCCCACAACAAAACAATATAGGGCTACAAATTATTTTAAAAGTGGTAGATTAAAACCACAACTTTTATCCTTATATTTCAAGAGAAAAAATGTCCACGCATCCTTATTTTGACTGCCTCTAACAATCCTCTTCCTTGTCATCTAACAATAAAGAAAAAGTGTCAAAAATGGCATTCAGAGCTTCAAAAAGGAGTGATAGGCTGTATATAAAGAGAGCCTCTTCTAACTAGTAAAGTCTCATAAGAAATGAAGGGCACAGCTTATTGTCTATTTGAAAAATAAATTCCAGAATGACTGTTTTGTCCAACAACATGATTTCGACCCCACTTCCCAGCTTCTGCTCACCAGTTATTTTGGAAGCCCGACTTCTAAACTGCTTGCAGGCTGTTGCTGTGATCGGAGGATCTTGAGGGATGATTCTGGGACTTTTCTTAACCTCGGAGAGTCAAGTAGACAAAAGGAAGTCTGTTCCCTCTGTTGTTGAGTTGGAAAAACGATGCTCCAGAGAGAGGAGAGAATCTCCTCTCTCTGGAGCGTCAAGAAGTAGGAATATTGAAGGTTCTTCCTAATATAGTGATACAAATGTCAGTGTGTGTTCAAAAAAACAGATGAAAGACTAGTACTGCATTAGGGTTCTGGATAACAAATGATGTTTAACAATATAAAGGTGGTCCAGTGCATCAATTGAAAATTTCCACCAATCATCTTTGGTTGCTGGAGATTTATTTTTGGACACACTTTACTTGTTTGAAGATTTAAGGAACCTGATAACTCCGCCCTGAGTCCTGCTGGAGAAGGGCGGTACACAAATCAAATCAAATAAATAAATAAATAAATAAATAAAAGTGGAATAAATTTTGAATTCTGGACTGCTGGGAACTATTCAAGTTTAGCAATTGCTTTCAAAACTTCCTGTAAAAAGTGTATCTATTTTGCTACATTTATAGAAAGTAAAATACTTGTCAGATCTAACCAAACCTTAATAGAAACATATGCGAAATATAGATTCAAGTTTTTATACTTTTAAAGAGACCAAATTAATTTTGTCTTCTGCCTTAGGATGCTGTGTCAAAGCACCAGGAAGTCAGTAATAATCTGGAATTTGCCAAGGAACTGCAGAGGAGTTTCATGGCTCTAAGTCAAGATGTAAGTAAAGACAGTAGATGGTTCAGAATAGATTAGGTATGGAAAAATTAAGATTTATGTTAATACATGTGTGTGTAATTATGTGAGTTTTGTGTTTATGAAATCTGAATACTTCTTGTCCCGGATTCTTTGATGAATGTGCAGGTTTCCACTTCAGTTTGGAGTGGTCTGTTCCTAACTAAAACTTGTCTATCTTGTGTGTTCTTTTTTATGCATGGAAAAAGACATTATATTGATATGCGCATGGAAGAAAATAGTACTGTTTTAATCTTTTCAAGGGGAAAATTCAAGGACATTGTTAGCAGAGAAGAAAAGAGAACATTGAGAGTGTTGGTAGGATATTATGTGCTGTGGCATTGAAATGGTGTTTGAAGGGAAAGTATAGGAAAGCTTGGGAGTGGGGATATGGTGAGGTATTTCATGTTGGAACATTGATAGGGAGGAGTAAAGGTATTGGGAAGATGAAGGTTAGACATGCTGTTGAAATATGCTGTGTTGGAAATTGTATAACGAAGAGAGGGGTGCAATCCTCACCAATTTCACCCATTTGGATTTTGTTTCATTTGAAAGCTGGAACAACCAAACTTTCTGAAATTTGTTTTATTGAACTGTGTGGCTCCTAGAATCTCAGAAACACAATTCTTTGTCCTAGATTAAAAACAAAGCATTTATTCGGTTTAATGTTAAACATTTTCAAAAATAATTTTTGAATACTTCAGGCATTGTCTAAATCAGGGTTGTCAAACTCGATTTCATTGAGGGCTGCATCAGGGTTGTGCTTGACCTTGGTGGGTGCGGTGGGCATGGCCAGGTAGATGTGGCTAGCTTGACGTCACTCGTGTTGGGAGCGCCTGTGGTGGCCCAAGTGGTCTTTCAGCGAAAATGGGCTCCCAAGCTCCGTTTTCGGCTACGACGGCCGCCTGCAAACCTCTGCCAGTGAAAACAGCTCGGGAGGCCCACGTGGGCCAGTCCTTTGCTATTTCCAGGTCGGTCCCATGGGCCAGATTTAAGCACTCCGTGGCCCAGATGCGGCCCGTGGGTCTTGAGTTTGACTCTCCTGGTCTAAATAGAAAATATCTGTAAAACAATAACTTGATTTGAGCACCATGAAAACAATGCTAAGTAAATTAGGAAATTGAGTGATGGAAGAATTATTTCAGCCCTCAAGTTCCAAAAACATAAATATCTTTCTCTGTGTAACTAATGTTTATAGTGATAATCAGCATTGACATGATGAAAGAAGATGGTATTCAAAAAGCATAATAAACATGAACAAAGATTGACTCTTCACAATTTCTCACGTGCCCAGTAGCACAAAATCACACAGATATAAACATCTATTATTTCAGGGTCTTTTTAATTTTAGATTTTGGGGAGAGGCAGGAATTTTTCAATTAATTAGAATGAGTATACACCGTGATTTTATTTAATCAAGGACTTACCTGTTTGTAGGAATTATGAAGAAAAGTCCTCTAAAGAATTATTACATCATGAACAAATGTACAGTGGAACTAGTTATCTAGAGAAATGGTGAACTCTCCTTCGCATACATATGTTCAAGTTAACGCAAAAACATATCTACTGAGGTTGTTTTATGTGGCATTGGGGTTTGTTTCAGTGTTTGACATTATTGAAATTTTTTGAAAAAACGGATAATAAACTAACACTGAAAAGATCCGTTCCATATCTTTTCTTCCACCTAGCAATTCCGAATCTGACCGAACACTAGTGAGGTCACATATTAAGACCTACTTAGTGGCGATAGCAGCAGCAAAATATAACTATTTTTCCGCTATTATTGCATCGGCAGATAATCGCCCAGCCGCCTTGTTTAGGGTGACCCGCTCCCTCCTCCATCTGGAGCACGGGAAGACCCCTTGCAAGGTCGAGCTGAGGATTTTGCACAATATCTACACGATAAAATCGCTCAAATTCGGATAAGTTCAGATGAAGTGATGGAGGCGAGTTTTAAGGATGTTATTTGGGATGAGTTTGACCCTGTGACCCCTGAAGACGTGGACAGGTTACTGGGGAAGTTGAACACAACCACATGTTTATTGGACCCGTGTCCCTCCTGGTTGGTACTGGCTTCCCAAGAGGTTACATGAGGCTGGCTCCAGAGGATTATAAACGCTTCTCTGTGTGAGGGTTTCTTGCCTTCCACCTTGAAATAGGCGGTGGTGAGGCCCCTCCTCAAGAAGCCCTCTCTGGACCCGGCTATTCTAGCAAACTACCGTCCTGTCTCCAACCTTCGCTTTGTGGCAAAGGTTGTTGAGAGTGTGGTGGCACAGCAACTCCCGCTATACCTGGATGAAACTGTCTACTTAGATCTGTTCCAGTCCAGCTTCAGGCCTGGTTACAGCACTGAAACGGCATTGGTCGCATTGGTTGATGATCTCTGGAGAGCTCGAGATAGGGGTTGCTCCTTTATCCTGGTTTTATTAGATCTCTCAGCAGCTTTTGACACCATTGACCATGGTATCTTGCTGCACCGGCTGGAGGGGCTAGGAGTGGGAGGCGGTGTTTTACGGTGGTTCTCTTCCTATCTCTCTGACCGGTCGCAGTCTGTGTTGGCAGGAGGGCAGAGGTCGACTTCAAGACACCTTATTTGTGGGGTGCCTCAGGGGTCGGTCCTCTCACCTCTTTTGTTCAACATTTATGTGAAGCCGCTGGGTGAGCTCATCCGTAGTTTTGGGGTGCAATGCCATCTTTACGCTGATGATACTCAGATGATACTCTCCACCCCAGACCACCCCAATGATGCCCTTGCAGTGATGTCCCGGTGCCTCGAAGCCGTGTGGATCTGGATGGGAAGAAACAGGCTCTGACTCAACCCTTCCAAGACCGAGTGGCTGTGGCTGCCGGCGTCCCGATATAGCCAGCTGATACCATCACTGACTATTGGGGGCGAGTCATTGGCCCCCACGGGAAAGGGCTCGCAACTTAGGTGTCCTCCTGGTCACGCGGCTGTCTTTAGAAGAGCATATGACAGCCGTGGCCAGGGGAGCTTTCTATCAGGTTCGCTTGATTCGCCAGTTGCGACCCTTTCTAGATTGGGACTCCTTACGCACAGTCACTCATGCCTCATCACTTCCCGTCTGGACTACTGTAATGCTCTCTACATGGGGCTCCCCTTGAGGTGCGCGCGGAGGCTCCAACTGGTCCAGAATGCAGCTGCACAGGTGATATTAGGAGCGACATGGCGCTCACATGTAACACCTCTCCTACGCGGGCTGCACTGGCTCTCAGTGGTCTTCCGAGTGTGCTTCAAGGTGTTGGTTCTTACCTTTAAAGTGCTCCATGACTTAGGACCTGGGTACCTATGAGACCACCTTCTGCAACCAATAACCTCCCACCAACCAGCACGCTCCCACAGGGTGGGCCTCCTCAGGGTGCCATCACTAAATCAATGTCGACTGGTGGTTCGCAGAGAAAGAGCCTTTTCTGTGGGGGCACCTACTCTTGGAACAGGTTACCCCCAGGGATACGAATGATCTCAGATCTTCATACTTTCCATCGTGCACTTAAGACCTTTCTGTTTCACCAAGCTGGGCTGGCATAAATCTCTTCTAATTGTTCTAAATCTTTATGCTGAAGAATCTTAACCGATGAACCAAATTAGCTTAATCATCTTATATTCACATTTTATATGTATGTTATTTTAACTGTTCACCACCCTGAGTCCTTCGGGAGAAGGGCGGTATAAAAATTAATTAATTACATACATACATACATACATACATACATACATACATACATACATACCCTATTGTGCCTTGTTCAGTATTCTAACCGTAGAGAGAAATTGCTCAGATACTGAAGATAGCTGCAGGAGGACAAAGTGCATTGTGTGTAATTTCACAAATGCAATAGAAAATATAAAATCAAGAATTCTGATTTCATTTATGATGTGTGATACTGAAATGTTTCATAAAACAACAGTGAAAAAAGGGAGGTGAGAGAAGTAGCTGCTGGTGCTGGTAGAATAATGGAGAAGACTACTAGTATGGAGAAGACTAATTACAGTTAATTATGCCTTAAAGAGGGGAATGTTAGTTATCACCTTTAAAGCGCTATATGACATTGAGCCAGTTTACTTAGAGGCTTCCTATTCCTAGTGATTTCTGCCCGTTCCTCTAGATCTGACAAAGTGGGCATGGTCAGACTTTCAGTGGTGAAGAATTATCACCTGGTGGATTCCAGGAAATGGGGTCTATCTTGTGAAATAGCCTCCTTTCCATTCCCCCACCATATTTAGACAACTCAGATCCTATTAGCTTTTCAGAAGATTGAAAATCTGGCTCTTCCCCCTAGCAGTGGGCCCAGGATATTAATGGAACTCTGATGTGCATATGGTTTGATACATTGATATAATTTTTAGATTCCTTGGGTCAATTTCTTTTGAAATGATTAGTTTGTGTTGAAATTGTATAGTTTGATTGTTTTATTTCTGCTTGTATCCCAGAATTCCTTGTTTAGATGGGCGGTTAAATATATTTGTTAAATAAATAAATCTAGTTAAATAGTGCGGGGAGCAGGAAAATCTTTTGAAGCCTTTAGCTATTATCTCCTCAGAAATTTTTCAGGAAACACTGAAAATATTTGAAATAAGTTTTAAGTATTGGATTTCTCTTGTTAAGATGCTTAGGACAATATGTAGAAACCATTAAATTTGTCTACTATTTAAAACACTTGTTAAGCAAATGTATTTTTCACTAGATTCAAAAAACAATAAAGAAGACAGCCCGACGGGAACAGTTAATGAGAGAAGAAACTGAACAAAAACGTTTAAAGACAGTACTTGAATTGCAGTATATTTTGGACAAGTTGGGTGATGATGAAGTGCGCAGTGACCTAAAACAAGGAACAAATGGGGTATCTATATTAACAGAAACAGAACTATCTACACTTGACGAGTTTTACAAGCTGGTTGAACCTGAACGTGACATGAACATAAGGTATATGATTGAGTATAAAGCCAAAATAATTCAGAATTGTAATTGTGATCTAATTATTTTTTTTGGCAACATTAAACTTTTCAGGTAACATTACATTTCTGTTAATTTCTTCTTCTTTTTTTTTTGAAGGTTGAATGAACAATATGAACAGGCATCCATTCATTTGTGGGATCTATTGGAAGGGAAGGAAAAACCTGTATGCGGAACAACATGTAAGTATTTTTATTCTTATGATTTTCAAATGATAACATTTATAATATTTAGGGTGATTCTTTATAATTTGCAGTACCTATGGTTTAATACCAACAAAGAAGACATAGCAGACTGCAAATTGTCATAAAATATCCTTAATTTTATATGCTAGCAAAACAGTGCTTAGGATCATCCAAAAGAAGAGAGACCAGATGTTCAAGCTGCTTTAGAAAAGGCCAAGGAGCATGAGACATTATTGCTGATGCATAGTGGATAACTGAGAAAGCCAAAGAATGCCAAAAAGAAGTCAATGTATGCTTTATTGATTATAGAAAGTCTTCTGTTTGTGTTAATCACATCAAGCTCTGGAATGTGCTCAGAAGAATGGGAATCTGAAGACACCTTATTGCCCTTATGAGAAACTTATACACAGATCAGAAAGCCACTATATAGACAGTGAAACAAATTGGCTCCAGGATGGCAACTGTACATGACAAGCCTTTGCTTTCCCCTTATTTATTCAAAATATATGCTAAGTAAATTTTAAGAGCAGCTGGATTGGAAGAATATGAGCATGGTTTTAAAACTGGAGGAATAAACCTCAATAACTTATACAATGCTGATGACAATATGATGGTAGTTAAAATTGCCAAGGATCTATGAGCTCTGGTAATAAAAGTCAAGGAGCACAGTGAAAAAATGGGACTAAAATTAAATACAAAGACCAAACTAATGACAGGTAGAACAACCAACCTTAGAATTTATAGTGAAATGGTGGATAGCTGCTGCCTTTTAAGATCAACCCATCAACAGTACAGAAACAAGCAGTGAAGAAATATATCATAGACTAATACTTGGTAGAACAAAAGCCTTGGATAAGATATTAAAATTTTGTAATGTTTCTGTATCTACAAAGAATTGTGCAAGCCACGGTATTGGCTGTGGTTGTCTATGGAAGCAAAAGTTGGAATTTGAAGAAACAGGAGAGGAAGAGTATTGACACTTTTGAGCTTTGGTGCTGGAGAAGGCTCCTGAGAATACCATGGACTGCCAAGAAATCAAAGGACCATCAAACTAATAACAGTTCTCTCTGAGGACACTAAAGTCTAGATAGACTCAAATTACCCTAGTATGGCCACATTATGAAAATATATAATTTCTTTGGAAAACCCTCTGATGCTGGGAAAGATGGAAGGAAGAATAGAGAGAAAGAGGATGACCAGCAGCAAGGTGGATGGACAATTATAGTAGTGATAGGTTCACTGTTGGAAGACCCTAAAGACCAGGTTAGAGACGCATTGTTATGAAGAAAATCTACCTATGTGGCCATTAAAAGTCAAAAACTTACAATCATTTTTTTTTGTTCCATTTATATCCCATTAACACCAGGAACAATAATGCAATTCTTGGTGACATATCTAAATTTACATTCAAAAGTGCTCTAATTTCTCTAAACACCATGTCCCATATTTTTTGTGCACTGTCATAATCCCACCACTTGTGTTTATATGGTCCGACCTCTTTCTTGCACCTCCAACAAATATTTGTATATTTACCATCTATTTAGTTTACGTGGTGTTAAATACCACCTCCATATCACTTTATATCCATTTCTTTAATTGTATTAAATTCAACTAAATTGTTTTGGAGGGGATAAGGGCACAATTAGAATATATTGTATATCTTTTAGCTGTTATAGAAGAAGAAATATAAGGAGGGAAAATGGTCTCAAGGGATGGGATGCACTGTATTATTTGTATTTCTTTTCTTTTTCTTTTCTTTTTTTATTTAGATGTATATGTGTATGTTCGTATTGTTTGCATTACTTGTATTTAAAATAAAAATTTAAAAAAAGTCAAAAACAACTTGATGGCCCATAATCAATGTATTAATTTGTGTATTTTATATTCATGTAATCTTACTAGGTTGTTATTACAACATTTTTTAATTGTGTTAATGGATTAATTGTGTGGAAAGTTGGTCATTTAGGAATGTCCATTAAATCACATCATGGGGATTTATATAATTTACCTTAATTTATAGCATTTCTGTAATGACATAATATGAGTGACCTACGTCATAGCACAAATTTAGTATGCTACATCCAAAGTCAATTGGATTGACATCTAGAAAAGAAGGTTTCCTTGTATTGCTGGTAGTGATTAGCAAATACCTCTTTGCAAAAACTGGATTTGCAAAAGGGATTTTCAAAGTTGCATATTATGCAGAAAAATATTAGAAATTTCATGTCTCCTACTGAAGAAGAATGAATTGATAGCCAGGTAATTTTACCAGGTAATTTTACAATACAGATAATTCTTGCTTAATGACTGTTCAGTGGCTTTGAAATTATGATGGTACTAAATGAAGAGAGTTAGTGTGCCCTAAATTATGGCCATTGCAATGCCTCTTTGATAAAAAGCAATACCTTTAAAACTGTGGCGATGCTGCAACTATCTCCTCCCAATCTATCCAGCCCAATGCACTCAGCAATGCAAGTCTGGACCTGAGTTAAAGGCCTTAGGCTTTTGGAAGATGGACTAAACTGGCAATGCTCTGGGCCTTGCTGCATTCTCTAAGTCACATGAGCCTTGGGGAACAGCACAATTGCCCTTGCCACCCAGTGCTCTAGATCTGCATGCTGCTTGCCTTTGGGCATTTTTTTTTCTGTTGAGAAACCCATGCAGTCTACCCAAGGCACCTGCATATCACATCGGGCCTTCTTTGCCAAAGCCTGTTTATATGCAACTTCGGAAGCTTCCAGAAACCCTTTGCAACATCAGAAGTCCTGAACAAATAGGCTTCATTCTTTAAAAGTCTCCTGAAACCCCACATGACCTTGAAAGCCTTTGGGAGCCCCAGGTGAACATATTCCATTCTCATAGGGCTTCTGGGCCTGGTGGGATGAGGAGCAAGCCTGGATCTCCCAGGCTGCTGCAGCTTTGCCTCTCACTGCCGTACCCCTCCAATTTCCCCTGGGGCTCTTCCATTGCCCTGAGGCATTCTCACATTCTTTACCTGATGCTCCATCTGCTTAATGACCTGCACAATCACTTTAATGGCTGCAACCAGGACAGCCAGGATTTTCATTGTCTTGCTTAATAATCACTTTGCTCAATAACTGAGATTGTGATAATAATTTGAGGCCTACTAGTATACTTTCAGAAAGATGTAAAAAATGATTCTGGGGCCTTGCTTCAGGCTAACAGAAGAGTACACAGCCTTGGGCTGGTTGGCACCCTGAAAATGCTATCCCTGCCTTTTAATTAATTTTAATATTAATTTTTAATTCATCCTTGGTTTTTTAAATTGTAAATTTCATATACTGTTTTAACATTTTAACATTTTTACTTGTACACCTCCCAGAGTCCCTCTGTGATGCAGATGGGCTGTTTTAAAAATGTAATAAATAAAAAAAATAAATACTAGATTCTAGTATGTTTAATGAAATCAATTCATACATAAAATTTTTTATGAGGAAACTTAATGGCTATATCAAATTACTACCCCAATTAGAAAATGCACAGCCTAATTAATCTCATACTGGATATTACTAGATTTTTTAAAAAATATATCTTTTCTATAAAGGAAGATTACTCTAGAATTTGTAGTAAATGCTATATTCATTGCATATTTTATATTTGAACCACTTCCACAATCATTTATCTCAATATGCTCCTTTTAGAGGACTTAAAATTGTCTGTGAAGCACTATGTGCCTTGGGCTTTGATCTTCAAGTGATTGTTTTGTATTAAATAACACAATAAGTGACATATTTACTGCTTTATTATGTCCTCTAATTAATTAATTGTTGAATTAATATGGTAACAATTCTTATTTCTTGATTTGAGAAGACCCAAATGATATGTTAACTTGAGCACCCCTGATGATTGGATTCTGGAAAGCATACTAGGCAGCAATATTGTGTAATAGTAGAATTCTAAGAAAACATTGGGCAGTTGAATCTGGGTTATAGTTAACTTGGTTCAGTTTATTTTTTTAAGGAAGTAAGATTTCTTGTTGCTCATTAATATGAAGATGGCTGCTTATTGTAGATCTAGGAATGTTGTACGCTAGTATACTCTATAGAGTAAGCCTGCTCAATAAAATGCTTTTTTGTTTTTCTTTGTTAAAAGTATCAGGTCCAAGTATTTGTTCATGTTAGGCAAATATTTTATGATTGTGTATTTTCCATTTATGCAATATTATATGTATAATATATAATCTTGAAAACAATCAGTCAAACTGCATTTCTGTTTATTTTACAACAAATATACATGTATTTTAATATACTTCTGTAAATAGAAATTTTTTTTCAAACTGAAGTACTTTTTACAATATGGAATAATTGAAACATAATGATTGTTTCTCTTCTGTAATTAATGTAAAGATATTTAGCAAATGACACAGTTAAAAAGTGATGTTTTCATGGTTACAGATAAAGCCCTAAAAGAAATTGTTGAACGCGTTCTTCAAACAAGTTATTTTGACAGTACTCACAACCATCAAAATGGACTTTGTGAAGAAGAAGAGACAGCATCTGCACCCGTAGTTGAAGATTCTGTGACAGAAGCTGGTAACTAAAATAAATAATTGAGTCTGATCCTAATGTTAATTGAAGAATCCCATTTTGCTCAATGGGAATTATTTTTGAGTTAAAATATATAATAATCATGATATATTTGTAGAACTTTTGAAACCTTGTGTGTACTTATTTGTTGAGTGCAGTTTACTTTCTATACTATATAGTATATAAAAGGCTATACTCACGCTACACACTTAGAAGTTGATTTTTAAATTCTTTTCACATTTATTTTCATGCAAAGTAAATTGGTCACATGAATGTCACACTGGCCAGCCTTTAAAAACTAGGCTAGCAAGCCATCTATTAAATCAAACCACAGAAATCCGTAGCTTTCTTGAAGTCAGGAATTGTATCTTTTAAAAAAAAGAAATGTGTTAGCTTCTGAATTTACAAGGGTATATGTTTAGTGAAGAAGTCACAAGGAGAAGCCAGAATTTTTAGACTTTTGTTTATTCAAGGGTTAATATATAAAATGGGAAGGGTTAATATATAAAATGGGAACCAAGTTTCTCAGATATGAGTTAACAATTTTGCCCTTTCCTCCAACAAGAAGAAACAGGTTTGAGAGATGTTAATGGGTGGGATGGATCCTTAACTCAAGGCATCTATTTAACTTGTTCAAATTTCCATAACCCATAAAACGAGCTGAAATGTTTTGCTTGCCAGTTCCTAGTATACTCAGTTGGGGTGGGGAATAGGGGCACAAGAGAAGATTAGTGAATTACACAGTCATGTTCCAGCGACTTAATATTTTCAGAAGGCAAAATGTTTTTTAAACATACAGTTCAAGAGAGCTATTAAATAATGAAATATCTCAGATTTTAAGGCCTATATTTTGTGGATTGAAATAAATAGTGGTTATAATTTTACTTCACAGCTAACTTATAGATGAATAAGAATATTTTTACTATTTTTTATTTAATTGTAAAATCAGGCATAGAAGTTTAATAATTAAATATTATTAATATAAAATTCATTTTAATAAAGCTTTATGTAAAGAGTGTATTTTCCTCACAGAGCCAGAACCAACAGAAGAATACACTGAACCAAGTGAAGTTGAATCAACAGAGGTACTCTTTAGTAGAAATACTGTAGTCACCTTTCTAGAATGAATGTTGTTGGTTTATTGTTATATTCTTTCATTTTTATTTTAGTATGTAAACAGACAGTTCATGGCAGAGGCTCAGTTCAGCAATAATGAAAAGGAACAAGTAGATGAATGGACAGTTGAAACTGTTGAGGTAAATTGTTACGTATCTTTTATAAAATTTCAGTAAGTTATAATTCCTTCGTAACTTATAACTGTAATTAAAGTAGAATAATTAATCTTGAACATTCTCAAAAAATCCTTTGACAGGAATGAATATTTTTTCCAAATATAGGAGTCCTTGGGTTACAACAACTTGTTCAGCAACTATTGAAAGTTGCAACAGTGCTGAACAAGTGGGTGCTTGGCAACCAACTCACACTTGGAATATTTATTTATTTATTCAAACTTCTATACCGCTCTTCTCCTTTCGGAGTCAGGTTGTTTAGTTGCCTTCCACTTGCATGATCACAATTTTGGGGCTTCCAACAAGCAAAGTCAATGGGGAAATGGCAAGGAAAGTTGCAAGTTGCTTTAGTAAGTCTCAACTGTGCAGCCTCCGCCTGATCCTCTGCAATTGTGTCATGCTAGTCACCTGCACACCTTCATGTATTATTGAGATTGGCTGTACTTGTACAGTGCTCACCAGCGCATTCTTCCTGGCAATATGTGTGCCCCTTTGCCTCCCCACTGGCTTTGGTTATTGGAAGCTGTTAGGAAGTTGTAAGGAAGTGCTTGTTTAATGATGGGGACTGAGACGATTGCCATGATTAAGTGATATGGTCATGTGACATGTTTTACAACTGCATGCTTAGTGACCAAAATTCCAGTCTTAATTATTGTTGTAACTTGAGAATTACCTGTATTTATTAGTAGCATATTATTTTATATACTGTATCTGTACTGTATTATATACTGTTATTATCTAGAAATCCTTACATATATAATTTGAGCCTTTTATCAGTATAAAACAAATGAATCAGAATTGATGAAAATGCAAAGCTTCAGCAATTGTATGGTTGTGCATAGAGTATCAACAGTAATAACAAGCACTGAATATTAGTAATAATTTTATTGATATAAAGGGCATTTGAGCATTAATATAAAATAAAAATAAGCAATCATATGGTTAGCATTGCCTTATAAATGCATACCAACTCTGTTGTTGGAATTGTGTCAGCTCATTACTTTAAGTTAAATATGTGTGTTTTAGTTAGGTTATAACATTTAAGGATCCTATCTTTTCCCCTTTATAAAGATATATCTACAGGTTGTCCTCAATTTACAAGCACAGTTAGGACTGGAATTTTGGGAATAAGTGATGCAGTCATTAAGCGAACCATCACATGACTGAACCTGATTTTGCTACCATTTTTACCATGGTTGTTAAGAGAATCTGGCTCCCCAAATTGAATTTACTTGTCAAAAGCTGGCTGACAATGTCTCAAATCACTATCATGTGACTGCAAGAGGCTGCAACAATTGTAAATATGAGCTGGTTGCCAAGCATCCAAGTTGTGATCATCTGACTGCAAGCATGGTACAATGTTTGTAACTTTTGAGGACAGGTTGTAAGTCATTACTTTCAAGTCCACTGTAACTATGAACTGTTGTTAAATGAATGGTCGTAAGTCGAGGACTATCTGAATAAAATCACTTGATTACTGTCATATTATTAAAATCCCAAGCATGCTATTATTTACAGAGATCTGCTTTCTTTCTCAGTTTTTAAATAAGCTAATAGCATATAGTGCTAGCTTTGTCCAAATCATCCTTCCCATTTTTGCACTTTTAAAAGGAAATATTTACCCAGGTTTTAAATATTTAAAGCTGAAAAACATTTATCTTTACATTCTTCCATAGGTAATATTGTCAATTTGCCATTTAATTGTGGACTGTTTGAAATTGTATTGATTATTTTTAATGTAGGTGGTAAATTCACTCCAGCAACCACAGGCTACATCTCCTCCAGTTCCAGATGCCCATACGCTTACAGCTGTAGCTCAAGCAGACCCACTTATTAGAAGACAACGGGTGCAGGATCTTATGGCACAAATGCAAGGCCCATATAACTTTATGCAGGTAATTAATAATTTAAGATTACAGTATTTTAAAAAATGAGTAGAATCCAGTTGAAGTGGGGAACTGTTTTCTTCAATTGAACTGAAACAGAATTTGGCCCTGACTGATTTTCATTGATTTTGTCTGTGGTGAAGCTGTCTTAAATCTAGTTTAATAATGTAAGAATAATGTAGTGTCTCTAGTGAAGCTGGCTTAAATTTTGGCTTAATTATCTAGGACTCTATGCTGGAATTTGAGAACCAAGCACTTGACCCTGCTATTGTTTCAGCTCAGCCTATGAATCCACAAAATTTGCAGATACCACAGATGGTTTGCCCTCCAGGTCTGTAATATAATATTTTTGTATATGAACTATGTAGCAAAGTGGCAATGAAACTCAAGTAATTAGGTATTTTTACATTTCACTCCATTTTATATTCTACCTTTCTACATTTGTAGAATGTTCAACTTTACAAGGAAAAAGTGAAGCTTAATCAAAATATTCACATGTTATGATAATTAATAGTTAAAATCTGCTGAAAAGACACATTTTAAGTGGAAAGAATGGGACTTAACACATATCCTAAGGAAATAAATAAATAAATAATAACAGGAAATAAATCCTGTTGAAATGTTTCTCCAAGTCAGTCTACCTTTGAAATTGGGGAAATCCTCAAAAGAATTTCTCCTGCAGGTCTTAATATATGAACAGGTTTATAAGGGGAGAGGCAGTCCTTCGTTTACAACTTTAGAGGTTACAATGACTGCTTATAAGCAATAGAAAATAGTTCTTCCCATACTGAATTACATATTTTAGTTTGTATAATTAGAAACTTACCTGATCCATTTTGCATCAGTTGATATTTCTGGAGATTTTTAAGGATAGTCCCATGGAGACATTATAGTAGTCAAGTGCAACATGAGGCATTCTTAAAGAAACTTCCACTGCATTAATTTCAATATTGATTGTATTATTCTATTTCTAGTTCATGCTGAATCTAGACTTGCACAAACAACCCAGGTTCCTGTACAACCTGAAGCTACACAGGTAAGAATCCTTGATAATTAATGGCTGAATATTTCTTTCTAAACCTTTCCCTCCTCCTTATTTAGGAATTGTTGAGCTAGGTTCTACAATACTTTCTTCATTATCATGTAATTAGAAGTGGATGAACTTTTTATAATGTACTTCTGGATTACCAAAACTGGGCAATTCGTTTTCCTTTGAAAACCCAAGTTTGTATCTTTCACACTATTTTGATATATCATCCAGAACTATTTAATATTTGCTTTGGAAAGGAAATATTAAAAAATGTTTCCTCAGACCCATGTAAAAGCCCTGCTCTGGTTATAGGAAAATCCATAAGCAATTAAAAATATTTATAAAAGTTCTTTTTGAAAAAAATCTGAACCCCATTGTACTCAAAATATGATACAGATAATAACTTAGCATACTGTTTAGCTTAGCATTAATTCCATTGGGGAAATTACATAGAAAGAAATCTGTAAATGCCTCTATGTACAAACACATGGAGACATCACAATGAAAAGCCAGCAATTAAAACTAGGGTTATACAAAACATTGGGTGGTCTGTGCTTAGATTGAAATATGTTTCATCTGGGTATATATTCCAAAGACATAGAGGTAGAGTGAAAGATATCAAGAAAATGAAAGGCTGAGTGGTGTGTAAAAATAGCTAAACAGAGCAGAAGAAAGGTTAGGATTACAGTGCTGGAAAAGATTGATGGGCTGGGTTTCTATAACACACTTTAATGCATGGCAGGCCACAATTTTTTTTCATGCATGAAACACAGTATATTTCATGTAGTCAGAATTCTGAAGTAATAATTATCCTTGGAAATTAACTGTGGAAGTTGGCTTTATTTTAGTATTCGAATTAGCATGTCATGTGACTTTTGTTTGCAATGTTTTTCCCAAATTAGAACCATGCCTGTAAAGTATTTAGGGTGAATTGAATCACAGCCATTATTTAATTTCATCTAGAGTTTTTCAAAATACTGTTTTCTTGCCCAGCCATTTATAGATAGTTGTTTACAGCCAGTGAGCATTGTCTGTATAGAATGTATAATTTTTCTCCATTCATATGTCCCCATCAACTCCCATCAGTTTTCATTGAGTCTAAATATGTTAGATTAGTTTAAATACCTATTAATTACTGTAGTTTTAAAAGTATTCCTTTCTAGGACTTTAAAGTGGTGTTATGACTCATTAAATAAATTTCCATAAAATTAATGGTAAATAAAGATTAGGATTAAAGATGGAGCCATGATTAAAATCACAAATGAAAATCAGAATAGAGTAAGCATTTCTTGTAACTAAAAATCTTGCTAATTTTTACTATCAGTTTCAGAATGACATCACAAATAGAGAGACTTTTGGAAAAGTAATAAAAAACTTTAAATCGGTAATGTTCATAGAAATATACAGAATGCAAAAAATCTAATTGTAATTCTCTTCAAATGCATGAAACTCATTAATCTGAAAACTCAAAAATAACTGGAATGAATGCTATATATAGTCCTCAACTTACAACTGTTCATTGGATTCAAATTTGAACTGAATGAAATAAAATGAATTCCAATTTAAAACGGTCTCAGAAAAAGTGACTTACGATCTGCTACTCACACTTACAATCATTACCACTCTGGTGATCACATGATTTCAATTAGGTTGCTTGGCAACCAGCTCATATATATGACCAGTTGCAACATTGTCTGATCATAATTTGCAACCTTCCCAGCCAGATCCCAACAACCAACATTAATTGGGGAAGCAGCAAAGTGGTACAATTGTATCACTTTACAAGAGCCTTGGTGGCGCAGCAGACTATAAAGTGCTATTAAGTAGCACCAGCTGCCTGCAATTACTGCAAGTTCAAATCTCACCAGGCTCAAGGTTGACTCAGCCTTCCATCCTTTCGAGGTAGGTAAAATGAGGACCCAGATTGTAGGGGCAATAAGCTGATTTAGGGGGAGCTGAAAGCCCTACTAAGCAGGTATATACAAAAGTATGAAGGCTATTGCTTAACGCATTGTAAACCACCCTGAGAAGGGCGGCATATAAATTCAACCAACCAACCAACCAACCAATAAATAAAATATAAAATTGGGTCTGGCCATTGATGACTTGCTTAAGGACTGCTTAGTGAAATTCTGCTCCAAATTATGGTCATAAATCAAGGACTACTTATACAAAAACTGGTCAACAATTCGAAAATACTCCTCTATGATTTTTTAAGGGACAGAAAAAACTACCTTTAAAGTGATGAAGATATTCATCACAGAACCAAGAATAAACTAATAACTGGAATACCGTATTCAGCAGCCATCCTGAATAAACTATTAAAATTGGCTTCTCCTACTATGTGGCATTCTATGTACACAATTACATGCAAATGGTCAGTCACATAGAAACATAAGAGCTGGCACAAATTAAAATTGTCATTAGCTTTGTTTAAATGTGCTAGAAATAAGGAAGCATTAATATCCATTATAAAAATGTTACTTAAACAGAATGAAATGTCAGTTTAATTCCAAGTAGTGTATGTTCTTAAAACTGTCATTCTCTCCTATTTTACTGTTCATTTTTTATTTATGTCCTAATTTTTTGTTCAGTTAATACTTAAGCTAAAATACAATACAAATAGGAAATAAATATAGGAAATATAGATTTAAAATCAATGCTAAAATCATTGAGTATTAATAACTAACAGAGGTTTGGTACTAGTTTTTGCTTCTGGTTATTTTTCAGGAGCAGTGGTAAGCTATATTAGTCATGTCAAGATGGTAAACAAAATCTGGGAAACGATTGCCATACCTGAGTGGTTCATAAATAGATGCATTAAATATAAATACACAAATACGTTCCATGCTAATTTTGTATCCAGTGATGCTTGAGAAGTAGAAAACATTCATAGACTGTTTTGTAGCATCTCCTGAACCCTAGTCCTCAAGTTCACGTTTTTCATCAATTTTTACCAATTCTGTTACATCTGGATTTAATTTTACCTGTTCTAAATTACCTAGCCAATTACTGAGCTTCAGTAATGTCCAAGGATATTGACTATTTCCTAAAGAAGGAACAGTGGAATTGGGAATCACCAGAATATTTATGGTGCCAGCTATGGATAATTTTCCCTGCAGTTTAATACATATATGAGAACATAGGCAACAACATGGAGCCTTAGGGATACCATTGGTCAGTAATCTAGATGGTAGTAGTCAGTAGTGTCACAGTACTGCCTTCTATGCAGAGTCCAGAGAAATACACTAAGACCACTGCAAGGCCCATTCTCATCAGATTGTTCAGAATGATGCTATGTTGAATAGTATCAAAGCTTCCCACAATTCTAGGACAACTATTTACATTTCCATCATTTAGTTTCCAGCATAGGTTGTTCATTAGGCTGCTCATCTAATACTTGACCCTGTTCTATAGAATCTATAAGTCTGTAGATTAGAGGAGTTCTTAATTTGATGCTGTCAGAACCCTTTCCATCCCCAGCACATGAAGAGAACTAAACATACAAAGAAATAGATAAAAAGAAATAAATGTAAGTAGTCCTTGACTTAATGTCACAATAGGGACTTTAAAATTAATAATTAAATAGTGTGGTTATTGAGATGTTTTGTGACTGCACCCAGTTTGATGGCCTTTTCTTCCATAGTCAATAAATTCATTGCCATGGTTGTTAAATAAGACGTGACCACGACTTGTGACTGGCTTCCCTATTGATTTGCTTGTTAGAAGTTGACTGAAAATGTCATGAATCATGATCACGACAGTGGGACACTGTCTGTTTTAAATACACAATAGTTGCCAAGTGCCCGAGTCACAGTCACATGACTGCGGGAAAACTGCAATGGCCACGAGTCATTTTTTGCAGCATTACCATTGCTAAATGAATGGTCATAAGTTGGAGCTGTCATTAGCAAATGGCTTTGACAGGTGTCTATCCTTACAGGATTAATTATCTCTCAAAATTTGCTCGGGGCTTTCCTTCTGCTTTGCAAATCAGGGCAGACTTACCCAGGCAAAGTGCGGATGAGATGAATGTGCTCCTACTTCGCAAGTGTAAGGTTTGCCCAGGCAGAACAGCAGCAAATTTGACAGCATTCCTGCCTTACAGGCTTAAGAAATTTTTCAACCCCTCGCATTTACGTTGCTTATGACCCCCATGGGATTCATCACCCAGAAATCCTGGATTAGGCAGAAGTTAGAAGATTTGTGTAAATAATCTTTGGCAAAAAAAGGATAACATTTCTATATTTTTAGTGATAGGAACATTTACTTATTACATCAGTCATTGTTACTTAATTTGCCTTGATTCAGAGATTGGGCTTTATACTAAACTTGTGTGAAGATCTATGAACTGAATCTCCTATCCAAATTATGCAGTCCTCCAAAGCTTTTGGAGAAGTAGAAAAGACCACTGGAAAAATTGGTACAGCTAATATAATTACTAGGCTTTCTTAAAAAGATTATGAAATAAAAACTGGTCATAATCCTTAGTATATCCATCTCACAAAGCAGTGCTGTAATATTAAAAGAAATGGTATGAAAGCCTGCTAATATTAGAATTTGCAGAAATTTTAAACAATTTTAAAAACTTTTTGACCTAGCTAGAAAGTCAGGGAAAATGTCAGAATGCAGGTAGTCCTCGATTTATGACCACAATTAAGCCCACCATTTCTGTTGTTAAGTGAGACATTTGTTAAGTGAGTTTTGCCCCATTTTACGATCTTCCATGCCACAGTTGTTAAGTGAATTGGCAATTGATAAATTAGTAATCTGGTTGTTAGGCTTCCCCGTTGACTTTGCTTGTCAGAAGGTTGTAAAAGGTGATCACATAACCATGGGACACAGGAAAAGTCATAAATATGAACCTGTTGCCAAGCATCTGAATTCTGATCACATAGTCATGGGGATGCTGCAGTGGTTGTAACTATGAAAAACGGTCATAAGTCACTTTTTTCAGTGCCCTTGAAACTTTGAAGGTCACTAAATAAACAGTTGAAAGTTGAGGACTACCTGTAGCACTTTGTGAACTAGAAGAAATAAAAGTCTTCTAGAGTTTCTAAATATGAATAAATATTCAGAAGAATGTTGCTAACATAGAGAGAGCTGTAAGACTTATGAAAGGAAGGACTTACCGAGAGGCCCTGGCCGGAGTTTCTGTTAAATTTTAAAACTTTGACAGGTCCCCTTGGTTTCTTCCACAAGTGAGGGATATACAGCACCCCAGCCCACGTATCAGCCTTCTCATTCAACAGAACAGCGACCTCAGAAAGAATCAATTGACCAGATTCAGGCAAGTTATGAGACTTCATTATGCTTGGGAGGGGAAAGAGTTTTGCATATATAGATGAGTGCCCCTCTTAAAAAGTGTTGGAAACCATTTATTTTAGATATCAGGGTGGGGGGAGGTTGATAATTTTTAAACTCGAATATTTTTTTAAGCTTATCTGTTCTGATCCTGAACATTTTAGAAGCAATTTTTTAAATTTAAATTTGGGCTAGACTTCATCTAATCAAAAGGTGATTAAATATAATTGGTATTTGATTGACAGGGCAATGCCTCTGTAGGTTCACTGTCCCTGCACAGGAAACTACTTTCTGTAATCTTTTCACATTCAAGGTTAATTCAGAGTAGAATGCTAGGATCTTTCTACCCTTAATAAAGAGAGGATACTATGTAAGAGGGATTTTACACTTTCCCTTTTTCGTAGGCACACTTTGTCAGCAACAACCTATTTCATAATTAAAAATGGTATTGATGTCTTGCTTGCTAATGTTAGGTTGAATTTTATTTGTCAGGCTTCAATAACTTTAAGTACAGATCAGACACCAACATCATCGCCACTTCCAGTTGCATCCCAGCCTCAGGTATTTCAGGCTGCCTCTAGCAAACCCTTGCATAGCAGCGGAATCAATGTTAATGCAGCTCCATTCCAGTCCATGCAGACGGTAAGCATTAAATATATTTAAAATGTAGATAACAAAATTTTGGATGTCAGCTTCATGATATTGGTCAATTTTTCTCTAAATACTATTAGTAGTTTATTTCATTTTATTGGTGTCCCACTTTTATTGTTTTATAAATGAGTCAAGATGATGAACACTAAACTGGTCTATCTTTTTGAAAAATTCAACTGATTTTTACTTACTTTCCATCTAGGTATTTAACATGAATGCACCTGTTCCTCCTGTCAATGAGCCAGAAACTCTAAAGCAACAAAATCAATACCAGACCGGTTACAGCCAGACATTCTCCAATCAGCCCCATTCAGTAGAACAATCAGAACTTCAGCAAGAACAGCAGCTTCAGACAGGTAAAACTGTGAAAAACTGAATGCTTTACACTCAAAAATGTTTTAAAGAGATATAGTCTAAATAATTCTTTACTGATGGTGTTTATGTAATACATTGTGCATATTATGAAAAAAAGCAGTTCTGCAATATTTGTATGGTTTTCCAAAGGGGAAAATCCTGTGGGATAAATATCAATGTTGATGATTTTATATACCAAACTGAACAAAACCCATATCCTAGCTGGTAAAAGGGACCCCCTCTCCCCCTAAAAAGAACTTTAGGAAACTAAATTGATGAAGTTACAGAGTGCACTCTTTAAATCATGTGAAATGTAGGGACTATTCTACATGTGTAGGGAATTCAGACTGCCATGTTGGATTTAATTCTGCAAACAATCTTTCTTTAGATAGGTAAACATTTACTGTCCTACTTGGTGGCTCTTAAGCAGAGTACATTGGTGAGTTAGCTTGATATTATTTGAGTCTTTAGGAAACTGGAGTATACATTCAAACTTCTTGTACTGTCTTGGTTTTTTTCATTTTAGTGGTTGGCACTTACCATGGTTCCCCGGACCAGTCCCATCAAGTGGCAGGTAACCACCAGCAGCCTCCACAACAGAATACTGGGTTCCCACGTAACGGTCAGCCTTATTATAACAGCCGGGGAGTGTCTCGTGGTGGATCACGCGGCACTCGAGGCTTAATGAATGGATACAGGGGACCAGCCAATGGGTTTAGAGGTAAAAACTTAAAAACCTTTTAAGATTAATTCTGAATGTTTTTCAGAAATGCAGAATATCAACAAGCTTAAGCATTAGAGTAGCATGCTTTAATTTTTTAATAACAAAAAGTGCAGCATTACATAAACTTTGTACTAGTTGCTCTGGTGTAGTATTAGTGAATAAAAAACAAAGCAGATCATACAAGGGCAAAGTATGAGAAGGAACTAATTACAAATATTTTGATAAAAGTTTAGTATGATATATATGAAACTGAAAGTGACTTTCCATCTGTAACCTGCTAAATGGCTGCATCTTTTTCAGGGCCTATTACTTCCTTGGCTTACAAAAGCAAGTCTTTCACTTATACAAACTATGACTCTTGGTGGTATTCTTTATTTTGGTGCCTGACTTTATTAATGCATTTAAATAATTTATAATAAATCTTGCATATAATGGGAAATCTTGAAGACACTGAATGGTGCACAGGAGCCCTCATGCAGTTTAAACACTTATCCGGTAATTTTATGTTAAAAGGTTTAAGTATGGTATAGATGGAAGAAGAATTTATTTTCAATCTAATACTAACCTTTTTGCCATCGCGTGCCAGGAGCAAGGGGGGTGGGTGTCGCGCGCATGTGCCCACACCCATAATTCTATGCGTCCTGCCCCTGCGCATGTGCGTGCAAATCCCCCCCCCCCAAACTCCTGGCACTTGATGGCATGGTAGGCCTGTTTTTTGCTCTCCCCAGCATCCGGAACCTTTCTAGGAGTCTGGGGAGGGCAAAAATGGCCTTCCCCACCCCGTCGGAGGCCATCCAGAGGCCGGAAACAGCTGTTTGCCAACTTCCGGTGGGTTCCTCCTTCCTAGGAGCCGTGGTGGCACTGGTTAGAATGCAGTACTGCAGGCTACTTCTGCTGATCACCGGCTGCTAGCAGTTTGGCAGTTCAGGTCTCACTGGCTCAAGGTTTACTCAGCCTTCCATCCTTCCGAGGTCGGTAAAATGAGAACCCAGATTGTTGGGGGCAATATGACTCTGTAAACCCCATAGAGAGGGCTGTAAAGCACTGTGAAGCGGTATATAAGTCTTAAGTGCTATTGCTATTCCTTGTGATGCTTTCTCAGAATGCTTAGTAAGATTCTTTGTGCCCAGAATGCTATTTCTGGATATATTATAAATATATTCATGCATATCCCATAAGATAATCCTATCTAGTAATTGTTTTACCCTGATTTTTAGGAGGATATGATGGCTACCGTCCTTCATTTTCCAACACTCCAAATAGTGGTTACACCCAGGCACAGTTTAATGCTCCACGAGACTATCCCAACTACCAGCGAGTAAGTGTACTCAACTATGACCTTTTGAATGTAGACTATATAGGAGATAAAATATGTTTTATATCTGCTTGTGAAGATATATTGGATCTAACATTAATTAAATAAAAAATAATTTCAGATTTTAACTTTTAAAGTTGAATGTACTCTAGGATTCATTTCATCCCTGAGCTACAAATATTCTCTTTTGTTGTTACTCTGCTTTATTAGATTATAGATATACATTATTTTCTGTAAAAGGACTTTCATAGCCAACTATTTATTCACAAAACAAAATAATCCAAAATAAGTGAATTCTTGGTTGACTTTCTAAATTCATTGAAATATCAGTTTGCAAATATGTATTTTAATCCCCCTCATATCCAATTGCTTGACAAATATCTTATGAGTATACTGAATGTTAATGGCAATTAGCAAAGAGAAAAGAATCTTGAAATGAAGTTCAAAGCCTTTCTAAGTCTGACATTTTGTGTTGTTTCATTTTTGACCATTGCTTAAACATTTTTTTCTAAAACACTGGACTTTTATATTTTACTTTTTCACTACTGACTGGTCTTTTTATTTCAGGATGGATATCAACAGAATTTCAAACGTGGCTCTGGACAAAGTGGCCCTCGGGGAGCCCCTCGAGGTAATATTAAATAATGGAATTATGATTTGAATATTTATAGATTCTGGAGTTGTGTATCTTCAGATACTTCCATTCAAGTTTCTTTAATAGTTTATAATTATGGTTGTTAATTTATTTTTTCAACTGTATATTCCCCTTTCATGCTATTATTTGTTTAGAATTGTTGTTTCATTGTTGCCGTTAGTGTGGAAATGGACTACACAGAACCATAAACAAGCCGATTAGAATTGTATACCATATCATTGACTGTAGTGTTTTATCATTCCATTCAAATATTATCTGAAAAGAAGTTTAGGATAGAATTGTGTCTATGAGGTAAGGAACTTGTAGGGCATGTTTAAGATTTTGGTATGAAAATGTGCATTATTTTTGTACATTCAGGGCATTCTTCTGTACATCTGAAGTCTGTTTCTTTGTTGAGAAGGCAGATAGTGGGTAATATTTTCAAGAATTAAATAAATTTAAGAGTTTATGTAGAAATAAATGTTCATCCTGAAAATCAAAAGTCTCAGTCCCAAAATAAATTATTATTTTTATTTTCTAGGTCGTGGAGGGCCCCCAAGACCCAACAGGGGAATGCCTCAAATGAATGCTCAGCAAGTGAATTAATCTAATACTCAAGATTACTTTTAAAACGCCAAAAACACTGGCCAGTGTACTATATACATGTTACCAGAAGAGTTATCTCTGTTTTCCTTTATAGGAAGTTCATAGTAAAGGGATTATTTTCATTGCCCATAAAGACAAGACTACAGTTGTCAGCTTTATATTACCCGGATATGGAAAGAAATGCCGTTTGCGCTGCATGTTCTGTCCTAAGCGTCACCTTGAGCCTTGCACATGAGATCCAGACCCTTGCTTTGATTTAAAACAAAAATGGCAGTTTCAGAGTAAAGAAAATGTCTATAGTTAATTGAACAGGCAGAAATAATCCAATTGACTTCATTGATGTCATATAGTTCTGCAGCAAATTTGGATAAGAATCTGTAAACCCATAAACGTTTTACTCAGACAGTTGGTATATTTAAACTTTTACATTAAAAAGACAGAAGAAGTGAAGTGTGGCTTAACAGAACAACAACTACATTTCAGCTTTTTCTGTTTCATTGAAGCGCCTGAATATTTACATGCATAATAAAGAGCCCTGACTAGATATTAAACTGGTGAACAGCTTAGGCAAACCCTTAGCTACAGCACTTTTTTTAAATTAGTCTGACTTGCTGTGGTAAAGGGATGCATTAATTGTTTTGTGTATCTGTTGATATAATTGTGTAAACCCAAAATTAAGCTTTGATTGGCACTTTAAAATTTTGTGTAAGAAATAGAAGGTATAATCTGGACAGCCACTTGTGTTTTCAAATGTGAAGTGTTGAAAGAGATCTCTCCTGAACACATTTCCTGGATAGCAATGCCGTTTGTAAGGATTGGTATTCCTTATCATTCCTTATGATTTGCACATTGTCTGTCATTAATACTTAAACTTGCTGTATTACCACCTTAATAACTGATGCTGGTACTGATGGAAATTAATGGGTATGCATACTACGTGTCACATGTCTTTTTTCCCCTGCAGCTTAAAGATTTTGAGAAATCTCAAATCCCTGCTGGTGCCCTTTAAATAGCTCTTTTTTTGAAAAGCACCAGTAAATGTTTTGATCCATTTCCCCTTTTAAGGGAAATTACAGCCAGCAGTTACAGATCCAAGCGAGATAAATAAACATGTTTATATTAAAAAAAAACCTGTATTCCTTAACATATCTTCAATGACTGATGAAAACTCCACAAGCACATTCTTTGAACAGTTTTTTTTTCATTCTCAACACTTAAAGATGATTCCCAACTCAGAAGCTTCTAAGATATTTATCCAGTAAGGTATTTATCCAGTAAAGACATGCATTTATCTGACTTGTTACAATCATCAGGCTCAATGTTGTCAATTTATCTTATATGGGGGGGTTGTAAAAGTTGTGAACAAGCAGTAAGAATTGCATGCATGGTACTTAATGCATCTTTTGAAACCTCCTACACAAGAATTCATGAATTAGTTCAAAGCGTAGTTAGAAGAGTGCTTCTATGGACAAAGCCAGTAGTGCTGTTAATTAATCACATTGGGATTATAGAGTTACTGCGGGTTTTTTTTAGGTTAGCAAGTACTGTTCTTTTTGTTTAGTTGACAACTTTCCCTGATTCCATATATGGTAACAAAAAGTAGACTCTTCAGTTACGATAATTAAGTTAATTCTTTAAATATTCTATATTATTAATATTTGTAGGTACTGTTAATAAAAAAGATCTTAATGGAAAATAACTTCAAATACAGTATCAGAAGCCAAAGATAAATTGGAAACCAAACAAGATTATGTGATGCATTTTTTTTAAAAAAAATCAAGATTACCCAATGTGATTTAAACAAGCTGCTGTGTGTACAAATTTGTCAATAACTTACCTGTTTATATAAAATAAGCAGCTCTTGCTATCTTTAGATTGGGAAATGAGGCATACAACAAAATTAAACTTACTCTTGGAACACTGCTTTCAAGGCAAATTTAAAGCCACAAATGTCCTTCCTTAAACTAAAACAAAAAGTATTTAGAATCACAAGAATTTGGTGTCAGAATCAAGTAATTTGTAAACAAAATTGAGATGACTTTTTAAAGGACTAGTTTATCTATTGACTTTCATGACAAGCTAGCAATATTGAATATAGTGTTTGAATTTAAACAAACCAAACTATAATTTTTAGAAAACTAGAATTAATTCCCTAAATATTAGAAGGTACATTGTGTTCTCAGGTTAATTCAGCACGGTCAATAACTTATGAGCATGAGCCCTGCTTGGTTCTGTTTTCAGTCTAATTGTAATCTACTTTATGTTCCTCAGTTCTTAGGTGACAAACTGAAACATAGAAGTAGTCATTCCACTGTTACAGTTTGGAGAAAATCCAAATATTAAAGAAAACTGCCCTGTTTCTGTTGGAAAAGCTACAGGTCAAGCCATTTATGAGTAGTGAAAAAGATTTGCCAGGGATAAGCTTCATGAGGTTTATCTCCCGTTTTCATTGGTGACAATGAAGCCTTATTTTGTGTCAGTTATTTATCTTCATGCATCCAGGAATGCAGAGTCCCATCTTAGCTTGTAACAATCCAAATCTTTTTTTTTTTTGGCCTTCCATTCATGGAGAATGTCTAAATTAGTCCCTGCAGCTTTCTTGGTAAGGGTTTTCAGAAGTGGTTTGTCATTGCTTCCTTCTTAGGGCTGAGAAAAAGTAACTGGCCCAAGGGCACCCAGTTGGCTATGTGCCCAAAGCAGGACAGAAACTCACCTCCCAGTTTTTAACTTGATGCCTTAACTACTACATCAAACTGGCTCTCAAAATCTTTATTACAAGAAGGCAAATAGTACAGTTTCTGGTCTTATGCTGTACAGCAATGGGGTTATGGGGGGTTATGTTTGTAAGTGTGTGACTAATGTGTATTGCTCATTCACCTACCTGCCATTGCTTGTCTCCTATAGGGAGAGGAGGTAGTGGTGAGCGGAAAAAAGTAGCACTGCCTCTCCACTGTGCTTCATATTGCTACTCTTCTCTTTTCTTTGGCTTTCTTACTAGTAGTGCCACCTTTACCATCTTCCTCATCTCCTACCATCTACCCATTTTTTCTCATTTTCATTGGGTGTCCTGATGCTGTCAATTATAATTTACATGTTATAAAACTGGTATAGAAAAAAAAGAAGAACTGAATGTATGTTTTGAATGTAGCTAAGCTTTCTCCAACCTAGTCTCAAGTGGAAATGAAGGACATTGCAGGATGTTGCTTCAAATCCATTTGGGCTGGCCAGTTGGAAACATTGCCATTGGGCCAAGTTCTAATTTCCTCCTACACTAATGGTAACATTTATATAAATTAGAAGTTGCCCGTTTGTACAAAATTTCACAAGAGATCAGCAGAGGCTAAATTCATATGTAAACCTGAAATCTCATCTAGTAATGCATGTAACCTAACATAACCAGATGGCAATCAGTGGAGGAAAACCTATTGAAACATAAATTTTTAATTGGGTAACAAAGTGTTTTTGTATTACTTTTTCACTACTTTATATAATCATTCAAATTTCTGTTTCAGTATTATCAGTTTATTATTCTTTTAGTCTTTTTCATAAGTAAGCCAAACAGAACATGTTGAAATTGTGGGCTTTTACTGTATATGAACAGTGTTAAATCAAGCATACCATTATAGACATTGAAGCTAATGTATTATTTTGAATGTTAGGTTGTTAGAAAAATGCATTTAAAACATGTTATATCTTCAATATATACATCAAGTATGAATAGAACAAATTTGGCTTGATGTGAAATTACATCAAATATATGAGTTTTTTAAATTCAAACTCTAAGATGTTTGAGTTGATGCCCAATGGGTTGCATCTGAGTGCATTTTAAAAAATACTGCTGATATTGATTGTTCTACTGAAGTATTAATGGTGGCAAATAGCCTTCAGACACATTCATGACTGACAGCTGAATTTTTATAAAACTGCTCCCGATAATTCAATTGTTTGTTCGCATTTGTTTTTCTTACGTAATTTATAGTTATACTTAAATAACTGTAACTATTTTTCTTGTTCTAAACATTGCTTTTGCAGTTTTCACATATTTGGGTTAGAACTGTTAAACTCATGTATTAACTACATTTAAAATATGAAAGCCTGTTTACTTATGTGAGAATGTGTTCAAAACCAAATTCATAATACAGACCTATGCAAATATTGTGAGTTTTAAAACTTACAAATTTGAAATTGGTGATTGAGGTAGATATTTCTGTCCTAAACTGGAATTAGTGCCTATACAGTTGTACTCTTTTGATTGCAGATCTAACTGGAAAACAATTGCCTTTTAGTATTCCAGTGAAATATGACATTTTTTCTATCTTTTATGGCAAAATGTGATCCCCCCCAAATTTGAGTAACATTAAGATCGTTATGTTTTATTTTTATATGGACATCACTAGCACTGGTAATTTTACATTAGGATGTTGTCAAAATACATTCTGCTTAGCATGTGTAATTTATCGTTCAAGGTAACAGAATGAATTGTGGCTGGCTTTAAATATGGTGTATATGTATAAAATCAAACATGCAGATTTCTACCTGCTTAACATAGTTAAATTGGGTTGCAATTGTGTGTACATTTTAACTGCAGAAATCTGGACTGTGAGTATGCTTTTAAATAACAAATATAAAATGGGTACCTTTTAAAAATGTGATGCTGAGATAGAATTGCACAACGTGAAGATTTTAAACTGCATTTGAAAAGGAATGATTTTAACTATCTTTATAATTGTCTTAAGGGATTTTTATCAAGCAATAGCTACTGTCTTGAATATTACAAAATGCAGTTAATGCGGTGAACTCAGAAGATTGAAGGACATTTAGCCTGATGACCCACAATGATTTTGCAGGTGAAAGAGGTTGATACAGGGTGTGGATTAACTGCTTCTCCTACAGTTTTGGATCAGCATCAGATTTTCTCCAGATTGCTTAAAAGTAGATACACATTTTTTATTCTTTCAGGGTATTTCTATCTGAAGAGAGAAGCCATGTTGTCTCCCTGAGAGAAGTTGTCAATTTACACCTTACATGAGGAAGACGCTTTGGATTCACTGTGTTCAAATAAGTTAACACTTATAGCAATGCCTTAATTAGTACCTTAGAGTAAAGTTTACTCTTCTCATATCGAGATAATCTGACTATTGAAAAATCAGGCCATTATTGCTAAATTTTGGCAAAATACTGGAAACAATATGATTTGCTTGCTCATTTATGGATTGATCTCTCTCTGCCTCCTCAAATCTGAGAATCTTATCCACGTATCACGTATTACACACTTGTAACATTGATAATTACTGTGTTAATGTGTTTTGATGTTAATTGTTGGCCTTGAAATGACATGACCGACATAATAAAACAGTTGCTGTAAAGGCAGCAGCATCAACTAAATGCCAGCTCCATCACTTAACTGTTTCAGTGCATAATGCAAACATGCAGCTTTCAGGTCATGTATTTATTTTTGGTTGTCTTAAAGATCTGATTATGATAAATTTTATCATCACATTTCTCATTAAGTGGATAGAATATTTCAAAGGCAACCAGCATGGATTTTATAATCCACATCAAAATGATATATGTGATACATGTGCTGACAATATGCTAAGAGAACTTCATATAAAACAAAATTCTGTTATTCACAGTCCAAAGTATATAGAGCAACTAACATATTTGATTGGTATTTTTTTCCAAGTACAGGTAGAATTTCTACCTACTTTGCTGAGATATCTGTCTCCATGAAAAGCCAAAGAAGGTATTGCAGACCTCCATGGTGGGATAAGGTATAAGAAGGCATTCGGGTGTATTGGGAGACAACCAATCAAATGTTGGTTTAGGGAAAAGATCTGGGTTCTGATCAAGTGCTCATCCAGTTAAAAAACATTCTACAATAACAAAAGTTGTAAGGTGTTGATTCTTTGTTACTCAATACAATGGCAAGTTAATGGCCTTGGAAATCTAGTTAAAAAGGATCCCAGATTAAGTACCGGAGTTGGTAGCCTATAAATGCTATCCTTGCACCCCTAAATTTTCACTAATACTACAAATATTTCAATATCCTTAGAACTTGAAGGACTATTGCCTATTAAGTTGTTATTAAAGTAGGTTTTGTAATAAAACTGTGAGACTTAGCCCATTACAAAACATTGCTTGCTTTTTCCTGTTACTTTGTCTACTACTTGGTTGAAACAATTGCTGCTGTTTACCTTTGTTCATTTTCTGACAGGTGTGGCCACACTTTCAAATCTCTGGGTACAATCTTATTTTTGCTTTTGAAGAAAGCTGCTCTGACAATTCAGATATTTGAAAACTGCTTCCTATCCTCAGTTGCTGTTCTGAAAGTTAAACTTTTATCTATTTTAGCCATTGGCTTCCATGCTTTCCATCTTGGTAGCCATGCTCTGAATTTGCTCCAGATTTTCATTGTCCTTGTAACTGGTGCCCACATTGAGAACAGTATTTCAAATAGGATCTGATCAGGGCAGGTAGAATAGAACATTTGCTTCCTGTTATATGGATTCAATACTCCCATTAATGCAAATAGCATTTACTTTTTATCAGCTGCATTCGCTGCAGTTTCATATTTTAATCTGACAAGAACATTCACATTCATGTTGTGTATTACTGCTAAACAAGGCCTCACCTCATCCTCTTCTTGAGGCTTCCACTTGTCCATCAGAGGCTCCCATTTATTCATTTCAGTTGTAGAATTACATTTCTCAATTTTAAAAAAATGATTAAATTAAAAAAATATCCAAGGAAGACAGTTATACAAAGAAGAAAATTAAAAGAAAAAAAAATCCATATAACTGCAAACAACTTAGTCTTTAAGCTTATAATTAAATCTAGGCTGTTACGTCATTTTAAGAAAAACAAAAAAGACTGCAAAAATATCCTGAACTTAGCCCTTATAATCAAGAGAACATGTGTTTTCTCCCAATGGACTGTGGAATGTTCCAGAAGTGGGTTGATACAGTGCAATCTGCCCAGAGACTGAGTCATAATTTTGCTGGCCAAGCCCCCACTTGTGTCCGTTGGGCCCAGTTCTCGACTCAGTCGTCTGACGTTTTACAGTTGCTCCTGTTTATCCACTTCTGGACAACCTTTTTAAAAAATATGAAATATTTCTAATGAATTTCATGTTTAAATATTAAGTGTATTGCATATTTTTAACATCTGGGCCCATTGATTCTCCAAAACTGCATATTCTAGTTCCTCACTTCACAATTCAGATATATAATTTTCATTGTTTTTTAATTGCTTAAAAAATTGGTTTTCATTCAAGTGTTGCATCTCTTAAGTATCTTTAAATTGCAGATATCTTGGAAGCTCCTAGACTCGAGCATCCTGACTACTGTTTAGTTAACATATTTCTACTGTATATACTGCCAAGTGAATATTGTAGTTAAGTTTATTAAACTTCTATACTGTCCACTGTACTTGCATGAGTCTAAGTTATAAACAAAGCAAATGTAGAAATATTAAATTATTGATATTCCTCCAGCAATATAGGAGGACCCAGTTGTGGGGGCAATAAGCTAACTTTGTATAAATATACAAAAGGATGAAGGCTATTGCTTAGCGCATTGTAAGCCGCCCTGAGTCTCCGGAGAAGGGCGGTATATAAATCAATATATATATATGTTCAATAATCCTGTTATCCAATCTCAATTCCAATCTCAATTGGAAGACACTTAAATTGGAATTTCATGTGGATCAGGGACCTTTGTTGGTTTCCTAGGTTGCAGTGCCTCTTGTGATTTCTTGTAATGCCAGTGGTTATGTCAATTAATTACCTTTGAGAAATTTTTATTTCAGTATTGCCCAGGGCTTCTCTTACATTTCATCTTACTACCTGTGGCCCATTGCTGAAGCCTGAATCAATTATTGTCCATTTTTCTCTTTAAAAAAATAGTCACATGCTTTGTGTCATTTACAAACTCCCCTCATGTTTTCGAGGGGCACAGAAGCTTAGCAAAATAACAAGAGTTGGAAGGGACCTTGGAGGTCTTCTAGTCCAACCCCCTGCTCAGGCAGGGAGCCCTATACCATTTCAGACAAATGGTTGTCCAATCTCTTAAAAACTTCCAGTGTTGGAGCATTCACAACTTCTGGAGGCAAGTTGTTTCACTGATTAGTTGTTCTAACGAGAAATTTCTCCTTAGTTCTAGCTTCTCTCCTTGATTAGTTTCCACCCATTGCTTCTTGTCTTGCCGTCAGGTACTTTGGAGAACGTTGATTCCCTCTTCTTTGTGGCAATTCCTTATATCTTAATTAAAATAACATGTACGGGAAGTGACTGAAACATGCGTGCGATATATCGTACATTTAGAGGGAGTCCTTATCAAATCATACTGCACAGAGCAAGATGAACTGCCGGGGTACAGCAAAAAGCTGTTTTATGCAAATGAAATCCGCGCATGAGAGACTGCCACAGCCTGAAACGCGCGTCTCTGCAAAGAAGCCTCGCTTAGAATCCTGACTACTGTTTAGGATTCTACCTTGATTTAGGATGCACCTTGAAATAAGCGACGCGAGGTCGGAGCCTTTGAATGGTAGACAACCACGAAGAACCTGCCAAAGAAAGGCAAGACTTTGTTACCGTTAGCTTGACCCAAAGGTCCTTTGTTCAGGAGGCAACTGAACTTTGTTCTTTTGAAGATGTTTCCCTTCTCATCCAAGAAAGCGAAACGTCCTCAAAAAAAAGACAGTCCAGTTGCCTCCTGAAAAAGCACCTTTGGGACAACCACGACCTGGATGACTTGAGAATCTCTACAGACATCAATCGGGCTTATTACTGTACGTCCTGTTCAGATGTCCCTAAATCATAACTTCACAACTCGAGCCCACCACCGCCCCAGCAGGCTGCAGTTGAGCAAAGCTCCTCCCTTTCCGGCGCCTAAGCATCTGGCGGAAGGCAGCGTCCGGGCGGAAAAGCTTTCCCCAGGCGTGGAGAGATCCTCGTTTTGTTTTCTGCAGCCCGGATCCAAAGGCAGACGAAGCTCTACTTTGATTCTGTCGCCCTCCTGCTCTCCCACCGCCGGCTTCGCCGGTAGCTAGCCCTGCTTTTTCCCTTGAGCGGACCATCCTGCAGGATCCTTCCAGTGTGTTGCGCAGCCCCACATGGTTTTGCACGTGGGAAGCTGCTCCGAGAGTTTCCATAGCCGACCGGATTCCACTCGCGCGTAGACTGGAGTGAGAAAGGCAGAATTGGGAACGGTGAGAAAACGGGTATTGGGTTTGCGACTGGATCTGAGAGTATTCAGATTAGTTGAGAGACAGATTACTGTATTTTTCCCGCTTTGGTGTCCGGGGTATATATTTTGACTTCTTTAGCCAGCAGTTATAACATCTCTGTTCGAAAATAAGATCGATTATTTTCACTGCGACCGATTTCTACGTTGCTTTGCGTAGTAACATATGTAATAGTCATAGACATATGACAGTCTGAGTTTAAGACATATAACTTGGAGGTTTAATGTTTGTGGTTTATTACAGTCGGATTTCTAATTGCAGTCATATAGATATCTTGATTTAATTTCAGAAAGTTAGTGTCAAGACTTGCAATATAATGAAATGAATTAATGTGCTATGATTCAAACATTTAGGCTTAGTAAAGGTGCTAAAGGTGCTTAGTAAAGGTGATTGAATCTCATGAGTTTCAGTTATATATCCCATTAAAATCAATGGGATTTTGTTTTAAGGAAAGATAGATGCAACAGTGGCACAGCATCAAAAGTTGGCATGTTAAAAATTGGGTGGATATTTACCTGTAAATAAATACCATGTAACATAGTAAATATGTTTAATGCAGAATAATATCAGTAGACCAATTCTTAATTCCCTTTGGGGATAAGCAACATTACAGAAAATGTAGAAAAAAATCAGCAACATAAACATAAGAGCCTTGGTAGTACTAGGGTTTAAGGCACCCTGTTATTAAGCTGCTTAAGACCAGCTGCCTGCAATTACTGCAGGGTTCGAATCTCGCCAAGGCTCAAGGTTGACTCAGCCTTCCATCCTTTCTAAGGTAGGTGAAATGAGGACCCAGTTTGTGGGGGCAATAAGCTGACTTTGTATAAATATACAAAAGGATGAAGGCTATTGCTGAGCACATTGTAAGCCGCCCTGAGTCTTCGGAGAAGGGCGGCATATAAATCAAATTAAAAAAAAAAAAAAAATTAACATTAGATAAGAGAAAAGGGGAAATGCAGCTAAAATTAGTTTACATGTAACTTGATAAATACAGGTGATTCTTGCTCCTTTACAAAAGGATAGGGCAGCCTGGCATCCTGTACTATAATTTTTAATAATTCTTTCTGGATTAATTGTACAAATTTTGCTTTTACTTTCTGCCTGAGTAATTTAGATTTGTCTGGTTATAAATGCTGTATAATAAAGGTACATCTCTATAATTTCTAGGGCATGGCTACTTAACATTTTTTGTACCATGGATTTCTTTGAGAATTTGGTGAAAAAACTAGTCCTTTTTCAGAGTAGATGTATTCAAATCCATAAAGTATATAATTGTAGATTATATTACAAAGGAAACAAATTATTTTCAAATACAGTTGTCAAAATATAAATGATATGTATGAATATGTAGGTACAAACATTTTTTTGAAATACAAAGTATGTTGATTATTTTCAATTATACCCTTTTGGAGAAAAAGATACTTTAGACAATAGGTTTGTTGAAGTTAAGCATTTTTGAAGTCTAGAGGGCATAAATTACTATGTTGTCATCTTTCATGAATGAATGCATTTCAGTTAAAGATTAGTAAAAATAAGATTGCATTTTTTTAACCATCCCAAGTTCACATATCCCCTGAAATCTATTAAATTATTATCTGTTAAATCCCTAAAACCCTTGTTCTAGGGTACTGATGGCTAACCTTTTTGCCATCGCATGCCAGGAGAGGGGGGTGGTGGAGGAGGTTCGCGCGAGCACATGGCCACACCCATAATTCTATGCATCCCCCTGCGCATGCATGCGCAACCCTCCCCCCCGCTCCTGGCACGTGATGGCCTGGTAAGCCCATTTTTCTTTCTTACCTGGCTCCAGATCCTCTCTATGCATCTGGGAAGGGCAAAACAGCCCTTGTTGTGAGTCTCTGGAGGCTGGAGAGAGCAAAAAACTTTCTGTCCCACTGGGAGTGGGAAATGGGTCCTTTCCTGTCCCACCGGGAGTTGGGAAATGGGTCCTTTCAGGCCTCCGGAGGGCTTCCGAGGGAGTGGGAAAGGCTGTTTTTGCCCTCAGCAGATGCATAGAGAGGATCTGGAGCCAGGTAAGAAAGAAAAACGGGCCTCCCCCTGCCCCCACCTCCGGCCCTCTGGAGGCAGGAAACAGCCTGCTTCCCTACTTCTGGTGGGCCTAGAAAGCCTGAAAATCAGTTGGTCAGCACGCGCATGTGCGCCACAGCTGAGCTGGCATGCCCACTGATATGGCTACGTGTGCTATCTGTGGCACGCGTGCCATAGGTTTGCCATCACGGTTCTAGGATCTCATGCTCCTTTTGGTCCCAAATATTTTTTTCATCATTGCAACAGTAAGATAAATAACATTTCCTAGGAAAAAAAACTATTAGAAATGAGAACTTCCTTGGGTGGAAATATACACAGGGAGCACATTATCCTTGCCTTAAAATGAGTCCAAAAACAATCTCCACTAGAATGCCTTTGAATTGCTCGGATGAGTAGAAATGTGTACAGCAACATTGAAAAGTGAACCCTTTGAACCAGAAGCATTTTACCATCGACCATTGCCTCTTTCTCAACTGAGACAGGATGCAGACTAATTTGTTATAACTTCTACAAACTTCACAGGATCTGTCACTGAAAATGCAGCGGAAGAAAGTGGATAATCGTATTCGGATCCAAATAGAGAATGGAGTGGCTGAGCGACAAAGGACCCTCTTTGTTATAGTAGGGGACCGTGGCAAAGATCAGGTGATGTATAGCCATGAACTAGATGTACATTGTGTTTATATCAAAGGAAGTTGAGCCTGAATCAAAGATTAACCTCCCCAGCAAGAAAGAAAAAGTAGTAAAAAAAAAATGATGTAGGAACCCAGATAAATAAATCCTTTAAAATGGCCAGGTTCATTGCTTTCTTCTACATATTACCAGCTGAAATAAATTTTGGAGATCCCTCTATAGATGTTTGTGCTCATGCGTGCACACGCAGATGCATATTTGTAAAAGAAAGAAATGAATTATTAATTTCTCAATCAGCTATAAAACAATTATCCCATTCATGCAATTAATCTATCCTCATCAGCACCTACAAACACTGCTCCTTGACATATAGAAACCCACAAATACTTTCCTCTCCCTTGTTCTATGGAGAGAAGGAAGAAAGAGAGTAGCTGATGGCCGGGAGGGAAAAGAAGTCACTCTGGAGAGGTGACAAAAAGATGACAGGGCAGGAAAGGGGGCGAAGGAGAAAGATGGTACCTAATACCTGATCAGATATTATTTAAAAAGTTGACATTCACAAGCAGCAGAAGTCTTTTCTATTTCTTCTATTCACCCCATTCCCACTTTTCAGAAGCATCTTCTGTTTTCAGTGAATGTAAAATGACCCCCTCACCCATTTATAAGTAATTTTTTTCAGTTGGTGGTGGTAGGTGGGAATCATTCCTATCGGGATAGGGTAACAAACTTGATGTGCATATAGGGCACATGGAGTTGTCCTTGCTTTCCATCATATAACAAGGCGTGGAATTAAGCTTGCAAACATTGCTAGCCATTGTTCTTTCCCCTGCTATCTTTTCTGCAAGCTGACCCAAAAGGGATAGGGAGGCTGCGTTTTGACATTGGCTCCTAATAGCAGCATTTCTACGGTATGTTTGGTGCAAAGCTTTCCGTAGTGGCCTTTTTTGATTGCTGAGCAGAGTAAAGAGAATACAGTCTCCCCTCCTGCCAGCTGCCCTTCCAGTCCTGGTCACCAGGCTACATTTAAATGCAGGGATTATTCCTAGGACTGTTTTCCACACATCACCTTTTTATGGATTTGTTCATGTAGAGGAAATATGTGCAGTGAGTTGCATCTCTGTTTATCTGTATAAGATCTAAAAGCCTTGCGAGTATTGTGATCTCTGCGTTCTGCTAATTCACTTGCTTGACAATGTTTTAGTGGCAGAAATGATTTTGAGTTGTATTACCGTATTTTTCGCAGTATAAAACGCACTGGATTATAGACTCACCTACCTTTTTTGGTGAGGAAAACAAGAAAAAGAAATCTGCCTTTGCCTCCCAGCAATTTTTGCAGCAAACAGCCTGCTTTACTTTCATTTTCATTTTCAGCATAGCTTGATTAGCACAAGAAAAAAAAAATCTGCTCCAGCAATTTACCTCCTTGCAGCAAGCAGCAGAGAGCCACACAAAACAGCTGAGAGCAAAACAGCTGAGAGTTGGGAGGCCGATCCAATAAACTTGTGCTAATTAGGCTGTGCTTGAAGCTGAAACGAGCTGTTTCTTCTTGCTGCAAGGAGGTAACTGCTGGGAGGCAGAGGCCAAAGGGTGGGGCCAGTGGGTGGGTGGGGCTACATTCGGTATATAAGACGCACCTAAATTTTCATCCTCTTTAGGGGGGAAAAAGATGCATCTTCTACTCCGAAAGATGCAGTATTTTAAATTACATGTATATCCTGCATTTCCTCTGAGAATTCAAGGCAGTATGCTGGGATAACTTAACTGTTTATCCTGAAGCAGCCACCACACAGAGTAGCTTGGGCTGAGAGATGGCATGCTGCATCGTGGTTAAATGAACCCTGATTTTCTCAAATTTTCTCTAAGTTTTGTTATTGAACCTGGCTTGTGAATAATTGGGTTATGCAGAAGATATGAAATATGAAGTCATGAACTTATCTACGGTTCTTTAAACCAGATGTGTCTTATCCTGAGATTGCATAGCTGCCCTCTGTCACACGGAGGTTAATTGCCAAGTGAAAAGATAATTAAAATCTTTGAGGTTTTCTGATTCAGTTCACAAATGCTGTACATACATTCCTACAGAAGCAATAAGCATCATTCTTGGTTTTGTCACCTGGCAGGTGGTCATACTTCATCATATGTTGTCCAAAGCAGCTGTAAAGGCTAGACCCACAGTGCTGTGGTGTTACAAGAAAGAGCTGGGCTTTAGCAGGTAAACTAGTTTATATTTCCTTCTTTCACTTTATAACGTGGTAGAGATTTAATTTATAAATCTCTGGAAAGATCCACAATGTTTCTTCATGCTCACAGTTGCATCAAGGGCATTACATTCCCATGCTTAATTTGCTTCACAGTAGCATTACTACTTGCTTAAATTATCTTGCCCTTGACTGCAGGGTCTGTATAAGGCCCTTATAAACCTTTTCGGTATATAGTTTTACAGGTGTATTGATTTCTCTTGGTACAGGTAGACCTTGACTTACCTTAAAAATTACACTTGTAAGTTGTGCTGGTCATTGAGTTGGCCACCATGTGATTTTACAACCTTTTTACAGTAGTTGTTAAGGGAATGCTGTGGTCATTAAATGAATGCCATGGTCATTAAATGAACACTGATCATTAAACAAATTCATTTAACACTATGATTGTTAAATGAATGCTGTGACTGTTAAGCAAGCCCATTGTACCCAATGGATGTATTTCCTGGAAACCTGAAGTAAACAGTGATTTCCATTTTTTAAAAAATAGTAAATCAGGATGGTCTGAATAGAGAGATGAGCGATATACAAATTTAATAAATAAACAAATTGTGGTCATGTGAATGAGGGACATTGCAGATAGTTATAAATGTAGGTTGGTTGCCAAGTGCCCCAAAAGCAGTCACTTGGCCACATGGATGTAGGGGGAACTGTCAGAACTTTGAAACTGGGTTGTCAGTAGTCCTGGGGATGTTTTCTATAACTCCGGATGGTTGCTAGGCCGAAGGCTACCCGTATTCATTTATCTTGAGTGTTTTTTTCAGATAGTAAAATTTGATATATGCCATTTTGATGCATTTGTCAAATGTAATGAGTGACCCAATACTTCGACTATGTCACAGGCCTTTAAAGGTCGTCTTTTCCTTCTGTTGAGAATGAGAATGTGCATAAAACATAATTTGATAGGGTTATTGCTAAGCTTACAGTTAAAAACAATTTCATATTCTTGCAGGATGCATTAATTTAAGATGCCTTTTCTCATATACCGGTATTTTTAATGTTAATTTTCATCACTTGTTTAATTTTTGTTGGACCTAAGTAAAGTACCTAATGTGCATGTTGGATAATGTGGCCTACTTGAATTTGTTTTGCTTGTAACTCCTAATCAGAACACATATCCCACCACTTATTCATTTTTTAAAAATGCTCTTTTACAGTAAGTGCCTGTTTATTCTGCCTCTATCTTGAATCACAGTAATATTGTCATCTGTCATGCATCTTGAAATTAAAACTAAGTTGGGTAAATTTAGACTCCTTAATACTGCAATAGGGTTTACTCATTAGAGTAAGCCCTATATTACACAGTGGAACTTGCTTCTAAGTAAACATGCATAGGGTTATGCTTGTTTAAATCTAATCATTCTAAAATGTCTTTTCTCACTTTCAGCCACCGTAAAAAAAGAATGAGACAGTTACAGAAGAAAATTAAATCTGGAATGTTGGATCTAAAGCAAGATGACCCCTTTGAACTATTCATAGCAGCCACAAACATTCGGTATTGTTACTACAACGAGACACACAAAATTCTTGGGAATACTTTTGGCATGTGTGTACTCCAGGTAAGAAGAGTGTCCATGCTACAAATCATTTGGCCTGGTTACCTGTTTCTTCCATCACTTTATTCAACATTCCGAAAATATAATCCAACATCAGATGTCAGTATTTGAAAAAAAATCATTAAAACATTTCAATTAAGAGCAATTTGAAATATCTATGCATTACAGTCAGCATAAATGGATTAATTGGAGGTTTAGGGAAGATATTTATATTATATAGGATAGCTTCTCTAGGTAATCATTATTTTTGTCTGAATTTGGGAAGCACATGTGGCTTCACGTACAGCTACTGATCCTTTTTGTAGCTCCCTAAGCATCCCTAAGAATGATGAGGCCAAAATATTTAGGAGATTTGGGGTGAATGTATGGCTGTAAGACCATAAGAAAGGCTGAGCGCCAAAGAATTGAGGCCTTTGAACTATGGTGCTAGAAGACTCCTGTGAATCCCTTGGACTGCAAGGCGATCAAACCGGTCGTTCTAGAGGAGATCAACCCTGACTGCTCTTTAGAAGGCCAGATCCTGAACTCAAATATTTTGGCCGCCTAATGAGAAGGAAGGACTCACTGGAGAAGAGCCTAATGCTGGGAAAGATTGAGGGCAAAAGAAGAAGGGGACGACAGAGAATGAGGTGGCTGGATGGAGTCACTGAAGCAGTCGGTGTGAGTTTAAATGGACTCTGGGGGATGGTAGAGGACAAGAAGGCCTGGAGGAATGTTGTCCATGGGGTCGCAATGGGTCAGACACGACTTTGCAACTAATAAGTTTTGCAAACTCTTAAAAGCTTGAGGCCTCCACTTCACTCTTTAAAAATTCCTGAAGCCCTGAAAAAATGCTGATTTGTCCTGGTTTACAGAGGTACTGGTTTTGGCTTAGAAAGTGAAATATGTATATTAAATTTAACAACCTTGTTTTATTCCAAGTTCCATTTTGTAACAGTTGAAGGTCAGCCTTAAAGAGAGCCTGGTCCTTGGTCATAAAGAAGTTGCCCAATGCCCGTTCTTAATTTGAAGTGGCTTCTAAGATCCTGGAATATTGTGAAGATGGTAGGCAAAATAGAGTATGGTAGTTTATTAGGGTGTTTACATTGTAGTCAGTCATGCTGCTAAGGGAAGAGCAAAGAAAGTGAATGAGCAAAAATATATTTTTCAGAGAGAAAAGATGATGGTTTGTAAAGATAAGAAGGAAACACATGAGAAAAGGGTGCTTGGTTATACAGGAATTGTTCAAGAAGGGGGAAAATTCAAGTCCACATAAACTCAAAGTGCTTGAGTCTCTGGTTAATTCTGCTCTAGGATAGATTGCTAGTTGTAAAACTGATGGGTAGAACAGGGGTGAAATGCTCCCAGTTTGGACCGGATCACCCGATCCGGTAGCGATGGCGGCGGGTAGTTCGAAGAACCGGTAGCAAAAATCCCTGCCCCTCCCCACCCCCCATGCACAGCTGAGCCACATGATCATCAGAGGCTTTTTAAAAGTAAAAAAAAAGCCTCTGATGATCGCACAGCTCAGCTGGGATTGTTAGAACCTTTTAAAAGCATTTTTTGTACAACCTCTTCGGCCAAAGAGGTTGTTTAAAAAATGCTTTTAAAAGATTCTGATGTACAGGCAAATCGGCTGGGATCGTCAGAGCCTTTTAAAAGCATTTTTTTACAATCTTTGGGTGAAGAGGTTGTAAAAAATGCTTTTAAAAGTAAAAAAAAAAAAGGTTGGCCACACCCATCCAGTCACATTAACACCACCACCACCAAGCCACGCCCACAGAACCGGTAGTAACAAATTTTACATTTCACCACTGGGTAGAATCCTTATCTTGGTTGCAGTGGAGATGGGGCTGATAGAATCTGAGCACACCTGGAAAAAGTATGTAAATTTCATCCATCGTTTTCTTCAGGACTTTGAAGCCTTGACTCCAAATCTCCTTGCTCGAACGATTGAAACTGTGGAAGGGGGAGGTATCATCGCAATTCTTCTGAGGACAATGAATTCCCTGAAGCAGCTTTATACAATGACCATGGTACATTTTTGGTTTATGAACTGTCCTGTCGTTCTGTTAAACTGGATCAATGTAGCTGCGCAGAAAGGGAAATAAATGAACTGCCGCCAGACCTTAATTCGTTTTAATTAAAAACTTTATTCCCCAACTTCTGTTCTTTATAGGACCTCCCTGTTGTCATAAGCATTGATGCTATTGTTCACATTTCATGGCAGAGGGAAACTTTTCCAATAGAGAGTTGGTTGGTGGTGAACCATGGGGCTTATCTTGCTGGCTAGGGAATTCTGGGAGTTGAAGCCCACATATCAGAAAGTTGCTAAAGTTGAGAAACACTGGATTATAATGTCCAGCTAAAGAGATACATTCTCTTGATAGTTGCAGTTAATGGCTTTTACTCTTTCCCTCCACAGAATGCCAGTCTCAGCTGAGGAGATTTGGGTGGCCGTTTCCCTAAATCCTTGGCAATCCTGTTTGAGGAATAGCTCAGTTCTCCCTCAGGGAAGTGAGCTGTTTCAAGGCAAGGCTTCTTTGAAGGGATGGAGGTGTTTTCCCTTCCCATAGGACAAGGATGTCAAACTTAAGGCCCACTCAAGGATGTGGTCGGACCTGGCCCACAGGGCTGGCCTGGAATATGTAAGGGGCTGGCCTGCATTGCTTTGGCCTGCTCTACCCAATGTGAAGAGGAAACATCAGGCCAGCATGGCTTCGGCCCGGTCTACCGAATGTGAAGAGGAAACATTGGGCCAGCAGTTTGGGGAGTGGCATCAAGTTGGTCACGCCCACCCAGTTGCTCCCCCCCCCCCAGGTCAACTACAGCCCTGATGCGGCCCTCAATGAAATCGAGTTTGACACCCCTGCCATAGGATATTTGGAAGGCCAAGTTGCTTGGGGGAGCTCTCTTTCCCTACCCCCAGGGAAGGACAGAATGGAGTACATATATATTCTTGTGAACAAGGCATATAAATTAAAATAAATCAATTCTTTACTTGATTTATTGTTTTCCCCAAAATCTTGGACAGGGCTAAACTTAAAATGTTAGGAATGTAGCTGTTAGAGAGATGTGGACCTTGGAAAGTAGTGCAGGCAACAGGAGGCTACACAGCTACACAACTCTGCTGTGTCAAATTGTATGGAAAAATACGTGGCTATTCAAGTTTCACATAAAGATTCTCTTCTTTTTCCAGGATGTTCACTCCCGCTATAGAACAGAAGCACATCAGGACGTGATTGGCAGATTTAATGAAAGGTAAATTGAACACAAGTTAGCAAATGTGCAATTTAGGAAATTTAACCTTGCTTTATGTGTTGTTTGAACTGAACATTTTTTTCATACAAGAAGTGGTTTTACTTCATAATGTTTGCTGCCGTCTAATACATTCTTTAATACATAAAGAATGTATTAAATTCTGATTGATTGATTGAGGTTGTTTCCCTGCCCCCCCAAAACCTCCCCCCTTCCAGGTCACTATAGTCAAGAGACTTGATATTTGGAATAGAACTTTACAATAAAACACAGTATGAAATCAGCATTATGCTAATAAGCAACAAAAGAAACAATCCCATCATAGGGAGAAAAAAACCCAATAGTATCATTTTTCACTTCAAAGTCTCCCTAAAATAATTCAGGATTAGAATGTCAGAAACCTGAGGGCCAATTGAATTTCCAGTGGGACGCAATTCCTTATCACAAGGGCCTTATGGAAAAGCAAGACTTGTAAGTATTGGGTCATTTTGCCCTGTGAAAATGGGGATCCATTGTCAGTTTCTTTCACAATATAAAAACTGGCCACTTATAGAAGACATTTCTGTAAGAGTTCCGGGGCCAATCCATATAGGGTCTTACAAGTTACAACCAATCTCTGCCACCATCCAAGTGTCAAAGAACATGAATGAAGTGTTCATGTTGAAAGGAACTCCTTATCTCTACAGCTTTCTTGATGGTTAAACGTCTATCAGAGTTTGTTGCAGAAATCACATCCAGAAAGCGCACACAGATAACTGATTCATCAGGATTCATTAACTTCTCTTTATATACATAATAACACATACAATACCAACAGCAGATTCTTCCAGAGTGGTAGAGAGTTACAGGCAAAACACAAGCTGAGGAGAGAACAGCAAAGATGAGTTTCAGTTTCAATTCAGCAGACTAGTTTCAGTTTCCAAACGGTCCCCATTGGCTGACCCAGTTGCTATGCCTATTCATTGGCTGACCTTGTTACCATGTCTCTGCCAGTCATGAATTCTCTGACAATGTCTTCTATTGAAACATTTAGCTCTTGAGCCACTTTGCCCTCAGGATGATGTTCAGACGGCCTGCAAGAGGAGAAGTGTTTTGTGCATTGAGGAAAAGCCAGCTTCTGTTGTAATATTATTTTCTCACTTGTCTCCTGCAGGTTCATTCTCTCTCTGGCCTCTTGTAAAACCTGTGTAGTTGTTGATGATCAGCTGAATATCCTCCCCATCTCTAGTCATGCTGCAAACATTTCAGCTCTGCCACCTCGATCACAGGTGCTTTTATTTATCTGATAATGATCAGTGCTTTGGGCTCTTACATGAAATATGTAATTATTTGGATTTGTATTTAATTGGCATATTTAATATACAGTAGAAATGAACGTTAAAAGGAATAGAGGTGTTCCTGTTAGCCTTCTCTCATTCTGTGTCAGGACATGCACTGCTGTTCCTTGTTCCAAACACAGGGCTTAGAATTTGAATTCCAAGAGGTATCTGGAAAAAAATGTAAGAAAAATTATAGCAAATAAAACTAAAAATGTCTGTGAGTATCCTCACCATGACTTAATTTGGAAGAAAACTATTTCAGTCTTCACAAAAGATAACTCATTCTAAAAATCTGAGTAGACATTCAATTTAACTCTAGAACTGCTTTTCAATTTTTTGTGGAAACTGATGTATTTTTTGTCATTTTGTAAAAGTATTCCTGTTTTTTCAGCCACCTTTTGTTGCTGCTTTTATTTAACTCTCATTTTATCGTTTATTCCTGTATCAAAAATGCTTTTCAGAAGGCAACTGGATTTTCTTGATTTCTTTCTTTGAAAATGTTTCATTTCTCATCCAAGAAGCTTCTTCAGAAGGGAAAAAGCTTCTTGGATGAGAAGTGAAACGTTTTCAAGGAAAAAAAAAACTCCAAGAAAGTCCAGTTGCCTTTTGAAAAGAATCTTAGGGACAACCAGGATCTGGATGATTGGGAATCTCCATATATTTTTATTCCTGTATTTCCTATAGAACTATTCTCATTTTAGGAATAGTTTTGTGAGCATTACAACCACTTGGTTACCATCTAGTCACCCTTACATCCTGCTCTTCAGGTTTGGCTGGGGGGGAAACAAACCCACCCTCAAGAAACCACGGTCACAGTATAGTTTGATGAATATTGTCATCCTCTTTTGAAATAACATCCCAAAATTGAAATTGAAAATTCTTGGAAGCATTTGCAATAAGGTTACTTTTTCCTTTTGACTTAGCTCATATTTAACGTAACTAGGACTTCCATATGTTATTCTCATTTTTCCCTTAATGATAGCTAATTTCGATTCAGACAGCTGTTTTCCTCTTTTAGGAAGAGAGCCAAAGTCCTCGTGAGGTGGAACTGAAGGAGCTAAAGGAGAGTTTACAGGACACACAACCGGTTGGCACATTGGTTGATGTTTGTAAAACGCTGGATCAGGTAAATTTACATTCAGATTAGTATTTTATTACTATTAGATTTTTAATCCCACCTTTTAAAATACATTTTGGTCAATTCAAGGCAGCGAACATCCCGAATACCTTGCCTCCTATTTTCCTCACAACAATGAGTTTGTGAGGTGGATTGGGCTAAGAAAGAATAACTGGCCCCAGGTCAGTTTTGATGACTAAGGAAAGCCCAGCCCCTCAACTGCTACATCAAATCATCTCTTCTTATCCATATTATAAAATACATGATATAATGCAGATAAAATAACGTCCCCTTCAGTAGTGGATTCCACTTACCTTCGCTACTGGTTCGGAACTGGGAGCGCATGCGCTTGCTTTGCTCACGCACAGCGTTTCTGCGCAAGTGCAGAGCATCCATGACGACGTCCGGGGTGGGTGGGCGGAGCCTCCTGCCGCCACCACTACCGATTCGCCTGAACCGGGGCGAACCGGTAGAAACCCACCACTTGTCCCCTTTAATTTTGCAGAATTCAGACTGTTGAGAAAAGCCAAAATATGTTGGGATTAAATTAATGGTGTATAATTCCTGTTAATACTTTCTCTTTTCTGGCTTTATGTCTGTTCTCGTTGATGTCCTTCTCCATCCATGATCTCCTGCCTTGGTGGCTTCTTTCCTCCCTGACAGGCAAAAGGGGTCCTCAAATTCATCGAAGCCATTTCTGAGAAGACCCTGAGAAGCACTGTGGCTTTAACAGCTGCTAGAGGGCGTGGGAAATCGGCTGCCTTGGGATTGGCAATAGCGGGGGCAGTGGCTTTTGGGTAAGTTTTTGCTACATATTCCAAGAGGGGTTTTATCTGAAATGGTCAGACTTAAAGAAAATAGTAGGGAAACTTTTTGAGCTGGTGGGTAGGGTTGAAAAATTAAAAGCATGTTGTTAGCATGGTCACAAAGTAATGCTGAGAGGCAACTTGACTATTCATGATATATAAAGTTCAAAGCAGAAATTACTTTCAATATGCTGTATATCATTCCCTTTGGCTAAGTTTAAAAGGTAATATACCCCAATAATGTATGTGAGTGATACTATCCCTTCAGGCTTCAGGAGGTGGCAGCATCTAACCAACCTTGACTGACCTTGGCATAGTTAAGTAGTATCAGACCTAGTTAATATTTAGTGGGGACCCCCCCCCCAGGAAATTCCAGGGAGATGGGGAAGCTGGCATAACATCTCAGAAGGAGGCAGTAGCAAACTCTTCAGTTTTTGTGTCAAGAAAACAACATGGATGTACCTGTATGGTCACAACTTAATTCAAACTTTTAAGGAAGTGCTTAATGGTGTCTGTTTGCTTCTTTTTGGTATCTGAATCAGAATTTTTATTGGATAATAAAATGGGTATAGTGAGGATTTTTTTTTAAAAAAATTGTTACTGCCAGCCTGGAATACAAGTGAATTTTAATAATATAAACTCTAGTTTTCACTGAGGTGGAGAATGCAATCGATGGACTATTTTACTTCAGTCTGCAAATAGTAGCTTACATTGGGTACCTTATCATTTTTTTTGACAAAGTGGTCCATCACATATACAATCTTAAATCATGTTATTATGACAGATTTACTGTGTCATTGAAAGTTTGTCCGAAGTCTAGAGCTGCTTCTGCACTATTGTACATTTTCATTCACTCACTCACTCACTCATTTGTTCATTCGAATACCACTCCAAAGATTCTGGTCAGTTTACAATGTTAACTAATTATTTTTTCTTCCTTTCAAATAAAAAAAAAAAATCCAGCCTCCAACCTGCATAGAGAATTATTGTTACAATAATTGACAGACTGTAATGTTGTTGTTTCAGTCACTAAGTTGTGTGCGTGTGTGTGCCGGCACCCATAATGCAATGCGCACCCCCGCGGATGTGCACATGACCCCCCATGACCCCCCACACACATGCACACACGACCTCCCGTGCGACCCCCACCTCCCTGCACATGTGTGCAATTTAAAAATTTTAGCAACATGCACCATGGTGGGGGGGGGGGAGGATTTTCGCCCTCCCCAGGCTCCGGAGACTTTCCTCGAGCCTCGAGGAGGGCAAAAACAGCCTCCCCCAGGCTCCAGAGGCTCTCTGGAGGCTGGAAACGGGCTTGTTTCTGCACTTCCAGAATGCTGCCCCGCCTCCCACGCATGTGCGTGCGACCCCAACCCCCCACACAGGCGTGCACGTCTCCCGCATGCGCCTCAACCCCTGCGCATCCCAAAAATCAGCTGGCTGGCGGGAGGCACGCACATATATGCAGCGGAGCTGAACTTGGCGATGACTCGCGTACCTGCAGAGAGGGCTCTGAGTGCCAGCTGTGGCACACGTGCCATAGGTTTGCCATCACGGCCATGGACCATAGCACGCCAGCCCCCCCCCCCCCACTGTCTCCCTGAGTGTGATCAAACTCATGCCCACTGTCTAACCATCTCATCCTCTGCTGTCCCCTTCTTTCCTTTCGCCTTCAATCTTTCGTGACCACCAGGGGGAAGGAGGAAAGAGGACTCCAATGAGTGCTCTCTTCTCATTTGGTGTCCAAAGTATTCAGCTTCAGTATCTGTCCTTCCAAAGAAAAGTCAGGGTTGACTTTCTTTAGGAGACAAACTATATATCCTTTCAAAACTTGAAACATTGTTCTGTTGTCTCTTAACAATTGGGGCATCATATCATAAGTCATATTTTTAATTGATTTGATGTTTCAAAGGTGATACGCTAAAAATTGCTTCTGACATTTTAATAGAGGGGGAAAAAAAAGTTGTAGCATCTGTTCTTGTCTTTTCTTTTTTTACAGCTATTCCAACATTTTTGTTACATCTCCAAGTCCAGATAATCTTCACACCCTGTTTGAATTTGTATTTAAAGGCTTTGATGCTCTACAGTACCAGGTAAGATGAAGCAATATTGTGGAGTCCTTGGTGCTCTCTGAGCTTGGTTGTCGGCTTGCAGATGTTTCATTATATGGTAACAAGATGTCTGTAAACAAACAAACAACTTCAAAGAGTGCCAAGGACTCCACAGTTCAACCCTGAGCTACAGATATTCTCTTCTTTTGAGGTGATAATAAAAGAGATAGATTGCTTTCATTAGATTATCTCGGTTTGCTAAAAGTTTTTCCCGCCTATGTTTCTGCCAGTTTCTCTCTTACCCTGTCTTTGTTTGGCTTTGGTTTTTTGGTGAGTGTGCCTTCGAATCAGTTTCTGACTTTTGGCAACTGCCTGGACTATAGTCCCTGCAGTTTTCTTGGCAAGTTTTGTCAGAATTGGCTTGCCCATTACCTTCGTCTTCCAAGGGTTGAGAGAGTGAGTGACTAGCCCAAGGTCAATCACCCAGTTTTCGCATCTTTAGCAAAAGGAGAAAATATTCATGCAGTAGGCAAACAAAATTTGGGCAGGTTGTGGGAGCTTGGGGGATGAGGCTTGTCAAGTTTCTGGGAGGGAATACAAACACTGCATTTAGTAAGGTAAAAAAACTTCTAAGAAGAAAGAAAACTTGATTGGTGAAAATGTCAGGAAGACTTGCTCGGAGAGATGGGAGCAGATAAGCAGAGGGAGGCAAGAGAGGAGGAGTTGGCGAAGCAAGAGACTGAGCGTGTTTGTGCATAGACAGCTTAGTAGAGGCTGAGGAGAAAGTGTAATTTGAGTCAGTAATCCAATAACACACAACAGTTTGAAAAGTACCAAGGGATGACTCAGAGATCTTGGTTAGGAAATGCAGAGGTTAAAATGAAGCAGAAGTCAAAAAGAAGAATTTGCTAATCACAAACCCAGATGCCATAATTGCTTCTAGCAATGGAAGGCAGTCCCTGCACAGATGAAATCTTCTCACTGGGCGTGCGCAGCTGAAGTATTCCCTGCTCAGCAGTTGCCAGTGATTAGGCATGAAAATGAGCTGAAGAAGCTTCTTGGATGAGAAGCGAAATGTCTTCAAAGAAAAACCAGAAAGTCCAGTTGCCTCTTGAAAAAGCACCTTTGGGGCATGATAATGAGCAATCTTTCCACTTTCTCACAAGGCACTTACTTTGCCGTGGTGTAGGATTCCCAGGCCAGCAAAGTTTGCCCATCTCCTTGGCACCCATATTAGCTCAAGAAGGATCAGTGTTGGTTGAGGAGGGACCTGAGAGGGTATTCATATTGGATTTAGTGATGTTGAATCGGTAGGTGCAGCATCCAGTGGGATCTGATCTGCCTGAATCTTGGGTCCTGGCTCAGGCCCAGACACCCAGATTGCTTTGTGCATAAGGTAGAGTTTACGCTCACCCAGTGCATCCTATGACAGTACCTCTTAACACCATCAAACAACACCCATCTGCCTTTCTCAAGGATTCAAGAATCCTTTCTCAAGGATTCATTTAGGTGGATAAACATGCCAAATCCAGGCTAAACATCTGGCTGGCTGTGCGACCAACCATAATAGTAAGATATGTCAATTATTAGGAGGGATAATATTTAATTCATTTTTCATATTGCCCCATTATTATGTCTGTTTTCAGGAACATTTGGATTATGAGATCATTCAGTCTCTCAATCCTGAATTCAGCAAAGCGGTTGTGAGAGTCAATGTGTTTCGAGAACACAGACAGACAATCCAGGTATTTATCAATGTTCGGCCTAGAGAATTTGAGCGTTTGGGTGTTTTGTTCTAATGTTGCTGCTCTTCTTTGGTTCAACAATGAAAGAAGCCAGAATTTAGAACTTAAGCAGTTTCTAGCAATGCATTGAAGGGCTTCTGAACAGGTCAGGATTGGAAACCACTTTATTGATTCATTGGCCTGAATGAAAAGTAATGGTTCTATTCATTTGTTTTAAATCTGGTTTTCTACTACATGTGAACTTGGGCTGCAGAGTATTGTTAGCTGATCCATTTGATTTGCAGGTATAGGCTCATTTATTATTACTTTAGATCAGTGTTTCTCAACCTTGGTAGCTTGAAGATGGGTGGACTTCAACTCCCAGAATCCCCCAGCCAGCGCTGCTGGCTGGGGGATTCTAGGAGTTGAAGTCCACCCATCTTCAAGCTACCAAGGTTGAGAAACACTGCTTTAGATAAAGGGAACTAAGCAAAATGAGAAATTTAAGGGGCTCTAAAAGAGTTTATTTTATTTTTGTTGCCGAGACACCCTCAGAAAGGCAGTTTAGGATTTCTACTCTTTCCATTTCCCTTGTCTCCCCAGTATATCCATCCTGCTGATGCTGTGAAACTGGGGCAGGCTGAACTCGTGGTAATTGATGAAGCTGCTGCCATTCCTCTTCCTTTGGTGAAGAACCTGTTGGGTCCTTATTTGGTCTTCATGGCTTCTACAATCAATGGGTAAGCTTTACTGGCTAAAGTGACGTCCAAAACCTGTTGATCCAGTGTTTCTGAAAATTATGAAGAATACACTTTTTGTTGTTGTTTTTTGAATCTCAGATGAAAATACTATGCTTCATCTGTTAAGTTAGTGAACTCCTTCCTCTAAATGTTTTGTACTGGAATTAATATCCAGTGATATAAAACACCTGTCTCTGATGACAGTCAGTTATGGCTGAGTCACACACATGCAGTTGCCATTGGATAATAGAATCAACAAATAATAAGCATTCATGAATGTCTGGCCCATTAGTAATAAGGAATTATTTTATCTATTTGGCAGGGTTATTTTCACATTATTCCTTATTGTTGTTCAAACACACACACACACACACACACACACACACACACACACACACACACAGAGAGAGAGAGAGCTTATGTAAGTAGTTGCAGTTTTAGTGTTAAGAAAAAATTACTGAATATTTGAGTTTAAAGCTTTAGAGGTGCTCTTTCAACACTCTGATTTATTTCAGAATTGGTAATGGTAAAACAGGAGGTGAAATGTTATTAGATGTTTGACAGGAGAAGAATAGAAAAAAAAACAAAAGCAAAAGAATTGACCAGTTGGCACTGCAACTTTCTAAAGTTTCTTAATTGATTAATTTATTACTGTATCCCAAGTTAGGGTCACCATTTTCTTCGATTAACACAATCGTTGTGCAAAGTTATGAACGATGCATTTTATTCTTTTCTATGTTGCAAGATAAACTGACCCTTGACTGAAAGGTTGCATCCATTCCAATGTTTTTAAGAATTTCTGTCCTTCCTTAGTCTTAAAAACAGAACAATAACAAACCTGGCATTTTGTCCCTATGACTTCAACATTTCCAGAAATATTACTTCTTTAGGACAGAATTTGGATTAATCTGCTTATATCATAAATTAAACAGCTGCTTTGCTTGTTCTTTTGCCTGTTCCCATCTGACCTGTCTGTTGTTTTGAATAGATATGAGGGCACCGGCCGTTCCTTGTCTTTGAAACTGATCCAGCAGTTACGACAGGAGAGTGCACAGGCCCAAGCCAGCATAACTGCAGAGAACAAAACAACCATCACAGCTAAATTGTCCTCAGGTATTTCTCTGAAACTAGAAACCTCCAGTACATAAGATCATGGCTGCGTTGCTTAATTGAGCTTTACATTTTTAAAAAGAATATACAGGAGAAAGTAATTGAGGAAAATCACAGAAAACTATCACTTTTCCATGAGCTGTATTTGATCTTAGATAACCTTTAAGGCAATTGAACAGATGGGTCTGCTTTCTTTGATAGGTGATGGGTTTATTTGTTCACTGTTAGATGGTAGCTCTCTTGTTTCTTCAAATCCATCAGCTATTGAGGTTAGGGTTTCACACATTACTAATGTAATGTAGATGAGTTAGACTTTTGGCTTGTCAGATTGTGCATGTCCAGGCATTGTGGTTTGTGACCCATAGGGTTTATGGTTTAGCATGTTGTATCAAACCAATCAATTGTGGATTAGCTAAATTATCTCTTTAAAAACTGTGATTTAACCCAATATACGTGCCCAGTCATTAGGTTAAAGTATGAAAAATTATAATGTACCACTTAAGGCTAGGAATAATTCTACAGAATATAGGTAGTTCTCGACTTACGACAACAATTGAGCCCAAAATTTCTGTTGCCCTATTTTATGATCTTATGAATTTTGCCCTATTTTATGATTTTTCTTGCCAGAGTTGTTAAGTGAATCACTGCAGTTGTTAAGCTAGTAACATGGTTGTTAAGTGAATCTGACGTTTCCATTGACTTGGTGATCATTTGACCGTGGGATATCATATATATGAGTCAGTTGTCAAGCATCCAAATTTCATTCACGTGACAGTGGGGATGCTGTAATGGTCATAAGTGTGAAAAATGGTCATAGGTCACTTTTTTCAGTGATGATGTAACTTTGAACGGTCAACTAAATGAACTGTTGTAATTCGAGGACTATCTGTACCAGCTACAGATCTTGTTTTTTGACCATCTTTTTATTTTTTTCCGACAAAAGAGATGTTTAGATCTTTTTGTATGTGACATTTTGTATATCATTTTTCCTCAGCCCGTACATTGCATGAAGTTTCGCTTCAGGAATCCATTAGATATGCTCCAGGAGATCCAGTTGAAAAGTGGCTGAATGATTTGCTATGCTTGGATTGTCTCAACATCACGAGAATTATATCTGGTTGTCCATTGCCTGAAACCTGTGATCTGTATCCTTGTGCTAATTCTCAGACTAAGTGCAGCTATTGTAGTCATATCTATATTCTATATTTTACTTCCTCTGCTTTTCACTGCCTATGAAGTGTGTTGGACATTAGTAAATATGTTTGGACAATGGCAATCTGTCAGCATCAAAGAAAATGTTGGCTTTCTTCTAGCTTTCAAAGACAGATCAGAAATTTGTCACTTAACTCATGAATGATATTCAGATATTATGTGAACAGAGACACTCTGTTCTGTTATCACAGAGCGTCAGAAACTTTTCTTCAGAGATTAATGGCCCTGTATGTGGCTTCTCACTACAAGGTTGGTGATTGTGTTATTTTCAGCTTGGACTTAGAAAAATGGTGGGGTCACTCAGTCCTCCTCCTCCTCCTCCTCCTCCTCCTCCCCCTCCCCCTCCCCTCCCCCCCTCCTCCTCCTCCATAAGATTGGACTGAAATCACTGTCCCCTGGTTTCTCGCCTGATGCCTTAGCCACTCCTTGCGCTTACGACCATCACAGTGTCCCAAGAGCCAAATGATTAGAATTTGATCATGTATTTATGATGGTTACAGCATCCTCTGGTCATGTGATCTCCATTTGCAACCTTCCCAGGGAGCTTCTGAAAAGCAGAGTAAATGGGAGAAGCCAGATTTGCTTAAAAACAGCATGACTCACCTGGTGGCCGCATCAGTTAGCAACAGAAGTTCCAATCCCAATTGTGGTCATACATTAAAGACTACCTGTATATGATTCTAGGAAATAAAATTTGCTAAGATTTGAAAGAAGGATGCATAATAAAGATAATGTTAAATCCGGAGGCCACATTGGGTCATACAGAAACATACAGCATTCTGACCCAGGATAACTTTTGTCAGCTTCTGGCGTGTGGGAATGAATTGAGAATAATAGAGTGTTTTAAAGTCATGGGGCTTTGAATAAAGAAAGTCTCATTTCTAGAAATAACCCATAGCCTGAATTAACGAAGCATGCTTGAATGACTGAGATCTAATCCTGTAACATGGTTGCAACCTTCCAGAATTCTCCTAATGACCTCCAGATGCTTTCGGATGCTCCAGCCCATCATCTCTTTTGCCTTTTGCCACCGGTTCCACCTACTCAAAATTCCTTGCCAGAAGTCCTTGCTGTGGTCCAGGTAAGAAGGATGTTTTCAAATAACCAAGGTATTTGGTTGATCAGACAAGAAGAAGCAGAACTAAAGAAATCAATAAGTAAGGACTCTGAATCTTTCCCTAGGGAATTTGTATCATTGGTTCCAGGGAAGAAATTTGTCATGTTATCCATCATGTGAGCAAAGAATTGGGAGTCTCTAGTTTAGCTACAGTGTTTGGGAGATGGTAAAACCAAAGCATATGTATTACTGATTTCTGAATTAAGGTAGACTTTTAATATTAATACTTTTGGAATTGTAAAATGTGTCAGAATCAAAAAACTGTTACTAGCAACTTCTACCTCATTTACATTACTGTTTTGGAGGAACAGAATAGATCAGGAGATTGGATTAACCCAGTCTTTCTAGTTACTAATTAGAAAATAATAGTACTTTCTGTACTATTTTAAGTAATCTATACCTTCTGGTACTTCTGTTACTCTTTTAAGTAATTTATACCTGATACACAATTTTGGTTTTAAAAAATGCTATATAATGTACCCCTGAAAAACTGAAACTTATCTTCCCTTTATTCCTGCAGGTGTGTTTGGAGGGTGAGATATCACGACAATCTATTATGAACAGCCTGTCCAGAGGGAAAAAAGCCTCAGGAGATCTCATTCCGTGGAACATCTCAGAGCAGGTAATGGATTTTGGACTTAAATCTAAATTGAATTTTTAAAAACATATTGAATATCACATAGCTTGTCTTGGTTCCTGCTAATTTATATGTTGTAAGCAGAAGTGTTAAGTTTATAGTTAAGGCAGTTGAGCTAAGAACCCGATACATTGAACAAATTGGGTTCCCTATAAAGGTGATGCATTTTATCAGATTGCTGTCTCTGTTGCCACTTCCCGTATTTTTCAGTCTATAAGACGCTCTCGACTATAAGACGCACATTAGCTTTAGAGGAGGAAAACAAGAAAAAAAAATCTGCCTCTGCCTCCCAGCATCCATCCGGTGTTCATCTAGCTAGCGTCCTTGCAGCAAACAGTGGGGGCTTGTGCTATCCTGATTCAGCCCTTGCCCACTGCTTTACGGGGTTCTCTTGCCGGTCACATCTACCTGACCCATCACAACTGGAAGGCAGGGAATGTTGCAGGTCCCATCCCCAAGGGAGATACACCTGGTGGGACCCAGAAGAAGATTACTATATTAATTTATTTGATTCTTTTTGCCAGTTTTTATTGTTTTAAATGTAGTCTTATATTCTGTAAGCTGCCTTGAGTCGCCATGGGCGAATAGGCGGCAATATAAATTCAATAAACAAACAAACAAACAAACAGTAAACAGCTTGGTCAGCTGCAGCACATTATTGCAGCCCCAGCACATGGCTCATCAGGGCTCTGCTCCGTTGCGTCCACCACTGGTCAACTGAGCTGAGCTGAACTGCTGCCGCCACCAGGGAACAATAGAGCCTTCGCTGCCAAGTAGCTGATTGGTGATTGGATTTGCCTCCCGGAATACCACCGATCAGCTGTTCTAGGCGGTGGGGATCACCGCCGCCCATTCGCTGTGGCCCATTCGCTGCTGCCCGTTTGCCTTCACCGCCACCCATTTACTGCCATTCGCCGGGAAATGGGTGCCGGCAAACAGGCGGCAGCAGCGATACAGCCCCCCTCTCTCCCCCACCACAATATTCACTCTATAAGATGCACTGACATTTCCACTCACTTTTTTGGGGGGGGGGGGGGTGGGGGGAAGTGCATTTTATAATCCAAAAAACATGGTATATATCTTATCACTGTATTTTTTAAAATCTATTTTGTCCTGGAATCGGATCATATATTTTCTTTTTCTTTTTTTTTATTGATATGGTTGTAAGACTAATCAATTAAGAAACAATTACTATTGAATACTTTCCAATTAAAAATCATTTATTTCTTCTTCTCGTTTTTATTGCTAGTTCCAAGATCCTGATTTTGGGAGCCTTTCTGGTGGAAGAATTGTTCGCATTGCAGTCCATCCTGATTACCAAGCGGTAAATTTATTTTAAATTTCACTAAAATACATCTCAATAATAATTGATGAAACATTACCCTGGTTAAAATAATCGCAAAGTATATATAAACAATTGATTTGCAAGACTTGTTAAAACAGTTTTGGAGCTGAGGTTCATACTTAAATCTTAATTGATTTATTTTTCTTTTATTTTTACATTATGAATGCCATTCAGTTAATGTCAGTTTCCTTTTTTATTTTCTCTAGTTTGAGCATGATTTGCCATTCTGTTTATATCTTCAGTCAATGTACCTTTGGATGCTAGGCCTTGGCCTAAATCTCCATTGAACTACAAAAAATTGCCTTGTTTCGACAAAATAATAACAGTCTAATCATATTTATAAATCAGTTTTAGAGCAGGATAAATGTGGACTGCCTGCATTAGTTCAGAGGGTTATTTTTCATGGTTCCTTTATTGTTAGATAAATTGACTTAAATGCTAACAATTTAATTGTGTAACATGAAATGGAAATCTACTTCTGTTTAGTCTGAAGATATATGTTTTTTTTTCTCTTTGTTTTCCTTTAATATAATTTAACAATTTAAAACTGAACTATACAAGCTACTATGCTACTCTCAACTGGCATTGGAGAGACCCAGATATATTAAGCTACTGCTTATTACTGCAAAGATTGAAAAGGTTTTATTTTAATAAGAAAAAGAAAAAAAGATAATTATTAAAGGATTTTGATTAATTGAGTATGTGTCATCAACTCAGTTTCATCTTCTGGTGACCACATAGATAGATTTTTCTCCAGAACAATTTGTCCCTAACTTGGTCCTTCAGTTTGCAAGTCTGATTGTACTGTTCTTCCTCTTCCTTCTTATAATTCAGTGAATTAGGAAGATATCAATCTGAGCTGCTTCTGAAATTATCTTGGCGTTCTGGGCTTTAAAAATGCTTTAGCCCTTATTGCCTATATCTCTCTCAAGATCATCTTACTTTCTATAACCATGCATACTCATGAAAATCTGTTTTTTAATTAATGTCACAACAATTAACCACCCTGTGCAATAACAGGTAAAATGGGAACATTTAAACACCTTCCTCTAATGTGCTTTCTTCTCGTTCTTTCTTGATTTTGATAGATGGGTTATGGTAGCCGAGCTTTGCGTTTGCTCCAGATGTATTATGAAGGCAAATTTCCTTGTTTGGAAGAAAAGGTTATTCGGAAGCCAAGAGAAATTGCTACTGTGAGCAGTGAGGTATGAAGTTTTCTATATGGGTAGTGGTATCAAGTTGGCCCAGAGCTTCATCAGAGTTCTTTAATTGCCTATCTGAGCAGCAGTAAATAAGCAAATTTCAAGCTATAATTTACCAATAAAAGAGAATATTTGTAGCTTTGATTGAACTGTGGCTCTCTGAGTTTGGGAGTTGCTCGAAGAGCACCAAGGACCCCACAAGCTATTATTTGGCACTTCTTCCTCTTTTGTTAAATTGCTCTCTTTTGTTTCAGGCTGTCAGCTTACTAGAAGAAGCTGTGATGCCTCGGAAGGATTTGCCACCCCTGCTTCTCAAGCTGAGTGAGAGGCAAGCTGAGAATCTGGATTACCTTGGCGTCTCTTATGGCTTGACTCCAAGGCTTCTCAAGTAAGCATTTTGCTGTAAATGTGCATTATAGTGGAAAATGTTCATTTTAGTTATTGTGTATCAGTGTATTTTTGCCAGATAGGATTTGAATAATGGCTCTAATTTAGAGGACTGACTGTTCTTTGGGACACTTGCTATTTATGGTATCTATGGAATGTGTTCATTTTCTGTTCCATTCTACAGCTTCTGTTGAAAACCTGGTATTGCATCGATTTTCTGTGGCAATAATTCTATTTATTCAGTTTTCCACATCAAAACAATCTTTTTATTTCAGCCGACAAACTATTTAAAGCTTTTCTCATCCATTTTGGTGACATTGTCCTAACAGGCAGCTTTCCCATATCCAAAGGTGATGGCATTTCTACTTGAGAGAAGAGAACTAAAGAGGATAAAATATTTATGTTCCTGAATGTCTTGCTTGAGAAAGACAGTATTATGGAGTGTCAGTTGAAAATGTTCAGTTTTTAAAGCAGGATAGACATGTCCCACAATTGGCTTATATTTTACCATATTGCTTGAGGATGTATTTCTAATACAGAATCCAGTATTTAAATTGAAAAAATAAGGAATGAACTTTCTCTTGTTCATGGATTTTTATTGTTTTCCTTTCCTACTAGATTTTGGAAACGGAGTGGATTTGTGCCAGTCTATTTGAGGCAAACTCCAGTAAGTTTTGTTTCATAGTCCAAGATCATAACAGAACTTCTGTGATTATTTCTTGAATATCAGGGAGGAGGAGAAATTCTGTTGGCAAATAATTTGTTTTTTCTTCATCAGAAAATGGCAGAGTGACTTTTCTTTACTAGAAGGGTGGAATAAGAGCTAATGAGAGGAACAAACATGGACACTGTCACTTCTAAATATAATCATACACTTGAGTGGTAGGATTACTGTGGGTGTAGATCCATCAGGTTCAAGATGTTCCCAAGCTCCCCTGTTTATTTCATAGTTCAGAATCTCAGAGTACAGTTATTATTAAGCATTATTTACGCTTATTTATATATTTGTAGTAGCGGTAAAATCTCACATTTGTACTGATTCAAAGTCTTACATAGCCATCAGAAGCATGCTCTCAAGGTTTTATAAGGCAGATTACAAGGGTTTTTTTTGCCTTGAAATATCATCCAGCGGTATTTTAAGAAAAGAAATATAGGGGATCAACAAATTTGATCCATTTGTTGATCAAATTGTATCAACAATTTGATACAATTGTTTTTTATTTTGCTGTTTATCATGCTTTAGTCCCATAAATCTTAGCCAAAGAACTCTACATTCTTTTCCACCCACCCATTTATTGACTGGCGAGATGTAGCTAAGGGGAAGCACGTTATTCTTCTGCTTTTGAGGCAAATCTCCTACTGTAGAAATGATGATTCATTTATTTAATTAGGGCTTTAAGTGGTGGTGGGGATATAAGGCAGAGGCTGGGTAGTCATCTGCCAGAGACACTATATGGAGTTGGATGGAATGATTTCTGATGTTCCTTCCAAACCTTAGATTCAATTATAGTACATGGGACTCTTAATTTAGTTCATTTAATCAAAATGTTTGATTAACTTGGGCCAGTGATAACTCAGTTCTCATGGCAAGGAGATATTCTCTCATCTCTGCTAACTATATTTCTGTTGATAGAAAAAGACTTTAATTTAAACAGATAGTTGCCGTTTGTTGAAAACACAGTGTGCTAATAGCCCCAATGGCTATGTTTCTAGAATGATCTGACCGGGGAACATTCCTGCATTATGCTGAAGATGCTAAACGAAGAAGAAGAGAACACAGAGGAAAGCTGGCTCACTGCTTTCTGGAAAGGTGAGTTAATTAAGACACTTTGTGATTGATTTAATCAGCCCTTACATGCTTGTGAAAGCTTGAAAAAAAAAGGAACAACCTCCGTGGTACTACTTTGAAAGTTTCAGTATAATGGGGAAAGCTATTGACTAACTTTGACAATCCCGGTTTTCACAATTGGTCAGTGAACAAAAGTTGCAAGTTATTTTTTTTTGTTACATCCATGTTTCTAATAAAGGAGAATATTTGTAGCTCAGGGTTGACATGAGGGATCCTTGGCGCTCTCTGAGTTTGCCTGTTTTTTTTTGGGTTTTTTTGCAGATGTTTTCGTTGCCCAAACTAGATAACATCATCAGTGCTAATCCTGATGCACTGATGATATTAGCTAGTTTGGGAAATGAAATGTCTGCAAGAAAACAGGCAAGCTCAGAGAGCACCAAGGAACCCTCATCCATGTTTCTCAACCACTGCTGGCTGTGGAATTCTGGGAGCTGAAATTCACACATGGTAAAATGGCTACGGTTGAGAAATATTGTGTTACATGATAGCCCCTTGTTTTTTTCTCTCATTGCTCTACAGATTTCAGGAGGAGATTCTTGTCTCTCTTGTCTTACCAGTTCAGCACTTTCTCCCCGTCATTAGCTTTGAATATATTACAAAACAAGAATGTCAAGCAACAGTCACAATCCTGTAAGTATATGCAATCTCCTGACAGGGTACTTCATAAAACAGCTTAAACAAAATCCAGGAATAAGGTGGATATTGAATGAAGGATTTTCATAGATCTTCATTCTGTTTCTAATAGGCTAAACATTTAAGCCCCACTCTTTTTTTGAATTGAGATCCACTTTTCCTTTTCTTTCTTCTTCAATTTTAAATGTACTCTTATATCCTTCTCTTTTAAAATGGATGAAATGTGGTAATATACTTTAGTAATACTGATTTTGACTATTTGATTGCATGCAAATATTTTTCAAAATAATTCATGCTCCTTAGGCATAACACACTAGTATTTTTATGTCATATTAGAGTAACTCTTTGAAATCTATTTCAAATTAGAAGTAACCATTAGTGGTTTCTACTCCTTAATTCCATGCAGGATACATTATCTTGTGTTCTCCCTGCCTAATCTAACACACAACTCAATAAGAAAAAAAGTGTATATAGATTAGCCTTGTCCAGGTTAATGTTCTTTAGGTGTGTTTCACTTTATCTCCCATAATTTCTAGATGGCATAATAATCTGCTGTGCTCTGCGAATGGGTGCAAATGCCTAAATTCTACCCAAAGGAGGCTGGTTGGAGATTATGAGAGCCAAGGATTAAGTCATGTAGAGAGATGCAGATTGATTAAAATTAGTGTACACAGTGAGCTATTTTTTGGGGGTGGTGGTGGTATGGCATGTGTTAGCCAGGGATCACCGAAGTGGCTGGCTGCCTCTGTGAAAGGAATTTTTTTGGGCGGTGTTATCTTACCCATGGGACACCTGAATGCTAGTAGGCAATCTTTCCTGTCCCTATGCGGTTTATTCGCTCACGGGAATCGAGCTGCCAAGCTGCCAACCTCAGCAGAGCACAGCTCAGCATCTTACCACATGAGCCACTGTGACCTCAAGTGAGCTACCGTTGATAAATGACTTCAGATCCTATTTTTGCAGAACCGTTTACTTTTTCTTCTATTTATCACCAATTTGCTCAGCTCTCAGCCGTAATGAACTAGAAGCGGTCTTCATCCCTTATGACCTGAAGAGACTAGAGATGTACTCAAGAAACATGGTGGACTATCACTTGATCATGGACATGATCCCAACTATTTCTAGACTGTACTTTCTCAACAAGTTTGGAGCTATGCCTCTTTCTGCTACTCAGGCTGTATGTACTACTTATCTAACTACTGTTGAATTATTTGAATTCATTTCATTTGATGGCCTGTCAATGGGCCTTCAATTGATACTTTAATTTTTTCACTAGCATCTTTTTGCCCAGGATATAAATGTTTCTAAAATGTGTGTTTCAATAAGCCCCAAATCTTTATTACACACGTCACTTGATATTCTCTGGAATCCAGTGGTAGATTTTTGATGGTTTCATAGTCAGAAACTTCTTAAGATGAAGTCTGATTAGCTTTGGAATCATAGGTACAACCAGACATTATTCTGAAGCATCATGAACTCTTCCAGATTTTATTTAGGCCCGGTCTTTAAACCAAGTAGTTACATCTGTGAGAAACCTCTGACCTTAACTATTGGCAGTAGTCACTTGGACAGTAAATTATTGTGAGTAGTGATTCCTCTAGGCAGAGAGTTGGGGAAATGACTAGTAGTTGCTGGAACCAAAAAAGCGAACACTAGACACGCCAAAAGAGTAGAAAGTTTGATTAAATTTATTCACGTCTAACTTTCAGGTCTTTGGGGACCCAGGCTTAAAACAAAAACAACCTCTTTTGAAACTTAAGTCAATCAAACTATTAACTCAGGAAGTGAGATGTCAAGCAGTAGCAGTTAATATCCTTTTGCTCTTTCTTTTCCCAAGGGACAAGATTGGTTTGCCAGCCTCAGCTGAGGAAGTCTAGGCAGTGCTTCTCCTTCACAATAACTGGCTCCCTTTCATTCCACCTGCCCTGAATGGATCAGTTCTCTTCTAAAAAGTGAGCTGGTTCAAGGCCAGGCCTTGATGAAAGGGGGAAGGGAGAGTTTTAGAATCTTGAATAGAGGAGCCCAGAAGCGGTTTCTTTTGCCCTTCGCTTCCTCTCTGTCACCAGAATGCATCCACCTTCAAACCGCCATTTCTACTTCTTCCCTCATCAGTGCAGCCTTTAAGATCAACAGGCACGAGTCAGAAAAATACTCAAGCCCATGAAAAGGCAGGTGTTGTCCCTTCACCACATTGCCCCCTTCTCAGGCCTTGGAGAGCTCTCTTTGCTGGGGCTTTGTCTGTACAATGAGGTGGGGGACATCATCTCTCTATATATTTGTAGTGTCATGGAGTAGTGAAATATCTATAGCTGTGACGAAAATAGTAGAAACACTTAAGATACAGAATCTAGATACATGTCCTTGTTAGCTATCATTAAGTATTGGAACTGCTTTGGTTTAGATCGAATTATCACGATGCATTGCTTGTCTGGTGTTTGAAGTGGAACAGTGGTGGGTTGCTCCCAGTTCGCACCGGTTCACAAGAACCGGTAGTAAAAATTTCTAGTAGGTCGGAGAACCGGTAATAACATTGGCTGGCCATGCCCCCGAACCGGTCCCCGGCCCAGTCGCCACTCGCTTACCCCGCCCACCTCATCAGAGGCTTTTTTAAAAAAACTTTTAAAAGCATTTTTTTCTACAACCTCTTTGGCCGAAAAAATGCTTTTAAAAGTAAAAAAAAAAAAAGCCTTTGATGATCGCGTGGCTCAGCTGGGATCGTCAGAGGCTTTTAAAGGCATTTTTTTTCCTACAGCCTCTTCAGCTGAAGAGGTTGTAGAAAAAATGCTTTTAAAAGCCTCTGACGATCCCAGTTGAGCCACACGATCAACTCAAAAAAAAAAGAAGCCTCATGATCGCGTGGCTCAGCTGGGATCGCTAGAGGCTTTTAAAGGCATTTTTTTTCCCTACAGCCTCTTCAGCTGAAGAGGTTGTAGAAAAAATGCTTTTAAAAGCCTCTAGCGATCCCAGCTGAGTTGCCTGATCGTCAGAGGCTTCTAAAAGCATTTTTTTCTGCAATCTCTTAAGGTTGTAGAAAAAATGCTTTAAAAAGTAAAGTAAAAAAAAAAAGTTGGCCATGCCCACCCAGTCACATTACCCCTCCCCACCAAGCCACACACAAAAAATAAGCCACGCCTACAGAACCAGTAGTAAAAAATTTTAGAACCCACCCCTGAAGTGGAAGGATGAGTAGATGAACTCTGGAACTCAAACGGAGCAAGGAGAAAACAAGGAACTGACCTGGCTAGATATGAATAGGAAATAGCAAATATGGAACACTAGAAAAAAGGGCTTATGGGGAAGACAGAGATGTGGAGAAAACTGTACCTGCTGTGTATGCAATACATGTGTTATGGGCCTTTGCAATTGGCCGCCTGAGTTATGTTCACCTATCTATAAGTTTTGCTAATACAGAAATTGCCTAGATGAGATATTCATGTAATACCATACTTGCCTAAGATAAAACTTGTCATTCTGCTGCATCAAAGCAAAGAAACCTTTTCTTTTGTCAGGCTCTTCTTCTTGGAATTGGTCTCCAGCACAAATCCGTGGACCAGTTGGAGAAAGAGATAGGGCTGCCTAGCAGCCAGTTAATGGGCCTCTTCAACAGGACCATCCGTAAAGTTGTTCAGGTAAATGCCCATTGGGGGCAGCATTTAACAGAATGAATCATATGCTGAAACGCAATACTCTTAAGCTTCTATTACAGATTCTTTGTAGAGAAATGCCTTCAGTGTGTTTTGTAGTATGTGATATGCTTTTTATATCAATAGTGATTCTTAGAAATTCAGTGGAGGGAAATTAGGAAATAAACAGGAATGATGTTTTGGGGATACATGGAATTATTATGGGCAGAAAGGCGATCCGTCCCACCATTCTTTGTTCCTTAGTTGTTCAACAGTGTCCAGGAGAAGGCTGTAGAAGAGCAAATGGCAGTAATGAAAGAAGTTGTAATGGAGCCAACCCTGAAATCTTTAAATGAAGATTTGGTAATTATCTTTATATAAGCTTTTCAGTTGTTGGTGTTAAATATTTACAGTTCCCTCCCCTTGTGATTCTTTTTTTTTTTATATATATATATATCTAATGGAATCTCAATAAAGCCCTTCATGGCATGGGCCCGGGGTATTTGCAGGACTACCTCCTACCGGCCTCCCACCGCCCAGGGCGCTCACATAGGACTGCCCTCCGGGTCCCATCGGCCAGACAGTGTCTGCAGGATGAAGGCATTTTCTGTGGTCGCACTGACCCTCTGGAATGGTTTGCCCACTGGGCTCCGGACGGCCCCCGACCTCCGCACCTTCCGCGTCAACCTAAAGACATGGCTCTTTCAGCAAATTCCCTGATCTGCCGTGCATTTTAATTTGGGGGATTTGGGGTTTTGAAATCGGATTTTAACATTTTAATTCTATTTATTGTTGGGTTGTTTTATTCTGTGAGCTGCCCCGAGTCCCTCGGGAGAGGGCGGCATATAAATATGACAATAAATAAATAAATAAATAAATAAATAAATAAATAAATAAATAAATAAATAAATAAATATTTCACTCATTCATTTGCCAATGAATACTGGAAGTTGAGCAAACAAAACTGGTGCTTTCAATAACTTGGATAATTTCTGCAATACTTATATATGTTCAGCTGACCAAATGTGTAAATGTATGATATTACCATGTGTTTAAAAGCTTGTTTTCCTGGGAATTCTACTTCCCACTTAGAATGAAGAGGTGTACTATCTCATGTGAGATGCATTAAGAAACACCAGGCTCTTTAGAATTAACATAGATGATTGATTAGCTTTTGTCCTTGGTTTGAGAGTTGTACTATATTCATTTTAAATAACCATGTACACTGCCTGTTATTTATAACATGGATTTTCTGATGCAGGAAGAAGCAGCCAAAGAATTTCAAGAAAAACACAAGAACGAAATTGGAAAGCTAAAAGACCTGGATCTTTCACAGTAAATTTTTTTGTTCGTTTTCCATCCCCCTGTCCCTGTTACAAATGAACAAACTATCTCTTAAGAAAATTTAATGATTTAAGCTATTTGGCCAAAGTGTTGGTGTTAGAATCCCCACCCCACCCCACCCCGTTAATGTAGTGAAACAAGGAATCCCTCCATATTTTTTTCTCTCTCAGAAAAGAGAAAGAGAAAATCTACCTTTATATGGGCTTCCAAAACACCAGGCCTCTCCTGAGGCCTCAGGAAGGTTAAAATTCAGTTTGGTTTGGTTTGAAAGGTATTTCCTTGGCTCCAATGAACCAGAGAATCTCTCTGAAGTGTTTGGGGGTTTGGCCAAATCAGATGCATATTATTGGTTTATAACACAAAAAGTAGGTCCCCTGGGTACTAATTGTAAGGGACAAAGAGCACACCCTGGATTTATGCATTCTTTCCTTTTCCTTTTGATGCCTGACCTTCTGCTCTCCTTTCCTTTAATAATGATTATGTATTGAGTGTGACTGCCTTCCCTAATTTTGGGGGCTGGTATAGGATGGATGGGTCGATTTCATTTTTACTTACATAAATATTTCAACCAAAGCTGAATAAATCACGCTCTTTTAAAGCGCAGGTGCAATTTTGCACTTAGGAATCTCATTTTTTTTTTCAGCTGAGTCAATCAGATAGTGCTTTTGAGGGCCAGATACGATGCTTGCACAGAACTCTGATGTGTTAGTATGGCAGAGGTTACTATTTTATGATCAGGTTGCCCTTATGTTTAGAGTGCTTTTCTTTTCGTTTAGATACATTATCCGAGGGGACGATGAAGAATGGAATGAAGTGCTGAGTAAAGCAGGACAAGATGCATCTGTGGTCAGCCTGAAGAGGTTGGGGCACTCACATCTCAGAGGCTTATAGCAATAGCACTTAGACTTATATACCACTTCACAGTGCTTTTACAGCCCTCTAAGCGGTTTAGAGAGCAACATTTATGTGAAGCTGCTGGATGAGATCATCTGTGGCTTCGGGATGGATTTCCATCAGTACGCTGATGATACTCAGCTGTACATTTCTACCCCGGGCCACCCCATTGATGCCCTTGAAGTGATGACCCGGTGCCTGGAGGCCGTACGGATCTGGATGGGGAGAAACAAGCTCAGACTCAACCCCTCCAAGACCGAGTGGCTGTGGTTTCTGGTGTCCCGTCATAGTCAGTTGGTTCCATCACTGACTATAGGGGGTTAGATCTTGGCCCCCTCAGAGAGGGTTCACAACTTGGGCATCCTCCTGGACTCACAGCTGTCTTTAGAAGACCATCTGATGGCTGTGGCCAGGGGGGCTTTTTATCAGGTTCGCCTGATTCACCAGTTGCATCCCTTTCTGGACCGGGACGCCTTACACACGGTCACTCACGCCCTCATCACTTCCCGTCTGGACTACTGTAACGCTCTCTACATGGGCTCCCCTTGAAGAGCACCCGGAGGCTCCAGCTGGTCCAGAATGCAGCCACACGGGTGATTATGGGGGCAATTCGATGCTCCCATTTAACACCGTTCCTGCGCGAGCTGCACTGGCTTTGGTGGTCTTCCGGGTGCGATTCAAGGTGTTGGTCACCACCTTTAAAGCGCTCCATGGCATAGGACCTGGGTACTTTTTTAAAATTATTATTAAAATTTTTATTGTATTTTTATTGTTAAAGAATAACAGGAAAAAAAAAAAGACAATACAATAGGACCTGGGTAGTTGCGAGACCGCCTTCTGCCTCCGATAGCCTCCCATCGACCAGTACGCTCCCACAGAGAGGATCTCCTCAGGGTGCCGTCAGTTAGACAGTGTCGACTGGTGACCCCCAGGGGGAGAGCCTTCTCTGTGGGGGCACCTGCCCTCTGGAACGAGCTGCCCCCGGAGATTCGTCGGATTCCCGACTTCCGTACCTTTCGCCACGCCCTTAAAACACTATTATTCCATCAAGCATAAAATATTAAAATATTATTTTAATGGGTTATTTTATTTTAGATTATTGGCCAAACTATTTAATAATTTTAAATTGTTTTTAACTTTTATATTGTTGTTTTTTATCTTGGCTGTACACCGCCCTGAGTTCTTTGGGAGAAGGGTGGTATAAAAATTTAATAAATGAATAAATAAATAAATAAATAATAAACAAACAAACAAACAAATAAATATTGCCCCCAACAATCTGGGTCCTCATTTTACTGACCTCGGAAGGATGGAAGACTGAGTCAATCTTGAGCCGGTGAGAATTGAACTGCTGAACTGCTTGCAGCCGGCAATCAGCGGAAGTAGCCTGCAGTACTGCATTCTAACCAGTGCGCCATCACGGTTCTTATCTACTACAAATAGTCCTTGACTTATGGCTATTCATTTAACAACCATGTGAAATTATGATGGTGGTGAAAAACAAGATTTGTGACTGGATCTTGTACTTACAACTGTTGTTGGATCCCCACAATTACATAAATTTGGGCACTTGGCAACCAGCCTGTATTTATGCCAGTTGCAGCATCCTGGGGTCATAGGATCACAATTTATAACCTTCCGGGGTGGGGGTGGGGGCTTCTAACAAGCATATTCAATATGGGAAGCCGAATTCAGTTACTGACCATGGCAAAAAAGATTGTAAAATTGGATGTGATTCACTTAACAACTGCTTAGCAACAGCAGTGTTGGTGCCAGTTGTGGTCATAAATCAAGGACTAGCTGTAGTATTCTTTCCAACTCTAGGAAAGTAAGAAATTAGCAAATCAATCTTACTGTTGACTGACTCTTGGCTGTTGGGAGGGATGCAGATGTTACCTCACCAGCAGAGAGAAGCTCTTGGCATAGTTTTTATTTTAGACTGGAAATCTTGGACATTTAAACTACCATCTTCACCTGTTTTTTCAAAGTTAGCTTCAGCAATACTTTGGCCCCAATGTATTTATCTTATAACCTGTGTATTATATTCTACCTCAGTGACAAGAAGAGAAAATCAGAAGTTGCCATAGAACCAAGACAGGAGAAGAAATTTAAGAAAAAACATCCAAAGCTGAAGTTGAAGAAATGATTAAAAGGAGGGAAAGCCTCCATCATATGGACTTGGACTTTCTCTTTTGTGAAATCCTGATGTCGTTTGCCAAGCAAATGAGTTGAAACTCTGAGGAAACTTTACCTTAGGAGTGGAAAAGCCACAAGGATTTTTTTTTATTGTTGTTATTGCTTAATATAAACGCAGCCTTCAAGCAACATCATTTGGAAGATATTTTTATTGCTGCCAGCTCAGCATTTGTGTTCCATTAAAAGAGACTGCAGAGCAGCAAGCTGGATAATTACCAGGAATTGTGACTTCAATATTGCTTTACAAAATCTGGTGGTTTCCTCTCTTCTCTCATTCTCTCTCTCTCATACTCTTTCTCTCTCTTGTTCTCTCTCTCTCATACTCTTTCTTGTTCTCTCTCTCTCGTTCTCTTATTCTCTCTCTCTTTATATGGGTGCATGCATGCCTATGAAGATCTTCCCTTTGAGTTCCTATTGGAGATTTGAAGAGAAGCTGGTATTCAATGTTAAGGTGATGTTTTTTAAAAAATCAGAGTGGGATTAAAAAGCATTCCATGTTATTTTACACTGCTGAAAGTACTTTAGATGCTTGTCACTCGTTACTGTTTATTGATGATAAAGTTACTGGTCTGAAAGGTTTTCCCTACTGTTTTAAAGCTTGTAGTCAGTTCTTTTATACCATAAATCAGAGGTCTTCAAACTTGGCAGCTTTAAGACTTGTGAACTTCAACTCCCAGAATTCTCCAGCCAGCATAGTTATGCTGGCTGAAGAATTCTGGGAGTTGAAGTCCACAAGTCTTAAAGTTGCCAAGTTTGGGGACCCTTGCCATAAGTGGTTATGATGTGGGCAGGTGAGTGGAGACTTGCCAGTTAAATTGACTTTGTGATTACCTCAGGGATCAGATCTTCCACCCGTAAGAGAACAAGTAGGATTAGGTGATTGCCTGAGACTTGACTTTTCGCACACTGTGTGTTGCAGAGAGAGTGTAAGTGTGCAAACCCAAGTGGTGCTTCAGAATGTTGTGCTACTGTATAAACCTCCAGTATAGGCTTTTCATCATTATGACTCTGGACTTAGCTGGAAAGTATCTCAGTGCCATTGGATGGAATTTAGAATAGAATAGAATAACAGAGTTGGAAGGGACCTTAGAGGTCTTCTAGTCCAACCCCCTGCTTCGGCAGGAAACCCTACACCACTTCAGACAAATGACTATCCAACCTCTTCTTTTTTTTTTAAACAAAAGTTTTTTATTTTTTATATTCAAACAACCAAACAGTACAAAATCATTTATCATACATCATTTTATCCCCACCCAACCCCCCCTCCCCAATTCCCCGCCCCGACTTCCCAGAGCAAAAACAGGATATAGCATTTAACAAACATAAGCTAAAATATGCTAACCATTACAGAATTCAAAACTCTCTCACACTTGTTAACTCCCCTTTTAAAAATTATTCTTCAACCTTCCTTTTATAAATTCTCTTATCACATTTCACATTTGTAAAAAAAAAACAAAAAACAAACAAACCCCCCCATAATCTTATTTTAAACATTTTAAAATCTCTTAATACATTAGCAGAACATTCTCCAAAATATAAGTTTCAAAATTTTCAAAAAGTTATCCATTAAATTTTAAGTTATCCACCTTTAAACTTCAATACTTTAAAACTACAATAAAATTCAAAAAGTTATCCAACTTTAATTAAGTCTTTTAAAATATGATCAGTCTTTCTTTCTTTCTATATTTTTTCCAGTCCTTCTTCAATAATACTTTCTTCTTTGGCATTGCTCCTCCCCCTGCTTTTGTTTTCAAAAATTTTTGGGTTTGAAATTGTAGTTGATGTGTCTTTCGAATTCGTTCTCTTCTTGGGGTTATTTCCTTTAATTTGAAGCCCCCATTTCGACTCTTCCTGTATTTGTAATCCATCAGTTCGTTCCTTAAATATTGATTCTGTCTATAGAGCCAAAACTTGTCAAAATATTTATCAACCTGCAGTAAAGAGTCTTCTTGCTGTTTCTCCCATTAATTGAATGGGAGCCTCTTCCAGAACCTGTGTTTTCGGTATAATAACCTCCATTTTAGCCCCAACAGTGTCTCTTTTATCCTCCAAAGTCACATTATCCTGATTAATTTCTTCCTCTTTTCCAGCCAGCAAGTCATTATTATTCCCCAATTTAAAATCTTGAATAGTTCTTTTAATTATCTGTCTTATCTCAACAGTAAAAGATTTTAAAAAGTCTTTTAAATCCTTCACAGTCACCACTTGTGAGTTTGCTGACTCATATAATCCATCTTTAATTTCAGCCATTTTTCAATTGTCTCTTTATGTTTGTATTAATTCAGCTATCAGGTCATTAAATCCAATTATTTTCCATGCAAATTAAAAATGTAAGTCAGTTAAAATCAGTACCACAGTCTTTTCCATTCCACTTCCACTTTAAGTCTTTTTCTTGAATAGCCCAATAGCTTTAACAATGTTACTGATGTTAACAAGGACTTTCACTTATAAGTTTTATTTTCACGCCCTAAGGCGCCATCTTTCCCTTTTTAAACGGAGTTAACATACAATACTTGCAAATTTAGTCTCCTGGATTAACTCTGCCAGCATCCAAAATCCAGAATCCAAATTCTTTATAATTTTTCTAGTTGCTTTGCTGGTGTGGTCACGACGCTTTTGTCTGCTTATTTTTAAGCAGACTCGTCCCGGCTCCGGAGCTGTAAAGGGCTTTCAGGGAGCTCTCACCCTGCAAACCCCAGGCTTAAAAAAAAAAAAGCCTGGGGGTCTAGGGGAGCTCTACCCAGACCCTTCTGCTCTTCTCTCTCCCTTTTCCCTGGGGGAGAGTTTTTAAGCCGCTAGACAGCTGATTTTCGCTGTTCTAGCGGCTATACGGAGTCGCGGGGCTGGAGCTCCTAAAAGGAGCTCCGTCGGCATTTCGCAGAGCCACCGGAAGTCCCCCAACCTCTTCTTAAAAACTTCCATTTCAAAAGTTCAAATTGAGGACATTTAATAGGCTGAGTCCGGCTGGAGACAGGGCGGCATATAAACCTCAATAAATAAATAAATAATAGGGTGTGATTTAAGTGGTACACTCGATTTCCATGGCTCCATTTCTTCTCCATGGATGATGTTCTCCCCTTTTCTGCAGCCTCCTTTCCCGGTAAATATTACAAACTTATATTAAACCGACTTTATATGATTTTCCTTACTGAGCTTACGGAGATCCATCTTGTGGATCGTGAGCTCTCTTGCTCTCTCTGTTTTTGTTGGCTAGCTCAATAGGAACATTGCCTTATTCCCTTACACATTTAAAGCTTACGCTGCAATTTATTTTACCTTGGATTGAGCTACTTTTGCATGGCCTTGATCATTTTGGGTTTGAGGTCTGCCTTGCCAACAGCGAACAGTTGATTTGTCAAAAGATTAGGGATGACGGAAGCCCTCAAGTGTTCCGATCCCAACCCTGAATTGGAGTTCCAACTATGCTGGAACTCCAGCGCAAAGTGGGACTTGAAAGATTATGTTGCAGCTCCTTGTGGAACTCCAGGCAGCTTGACAGGGAGGTTTTTCGCCCTGCTGGATTTTGGGGTGGGTGGGAAGTATTTGGAGAATGGGAGGAGAAATTACGTACTTTTACGGCATCTGGGAGTGCCAACAAACGGGTTACGGTGTTGCACTTTTCACCCATTCTGCATAGAGCCAGCCATGCCTTCTTCCAGATGCTCTGTTCTGTCCTCTGACTGAGTTCCTACTTCCTTGCCTCAATTTTTTTTTTTTTTTTTTTTGGTTTGTACTAAATATCATCCAAAACTCATGGGCTGTTTGGAGGATTTTACTCAAAACAATTTAAAAATAAAGTTGTCTTTGGGCAAAGTCCAGGGTTTTATGGAACATGCTGATCCCTCGTTCTTGTTTCTTGTTGGCTTGTTTTGGCTCCGTCTTGTCAGGGTTCACCTGGTGAGTTTGTTGTGAAAGGAAACGAAGACAGCTTTGAATGCGGCTCAGATTCCTACTGGTTGGAAAGATTCCAGCCAGGGAGCAAGTAGGGCAGAGAGGGAGAGATGCCTGGGTGGAATTTTCAGAGCAGCTGCCAGTCACCGCAGATACAGAAAGATGGCTTAGTGATCTAATTCAGCCTTTTTATAAGGGGCTTCATTCATTCACGTCTGTCGGATCGAATCTGTGTGGTGGTGGAACAGCAACGGGAGGTAAAGGAGCTTGTGCTGAGAGTGAGTGACTCAGGCTGCCTTAATGCAATTTGAGTCCAAGGTAGCAAGAGTTTTAAATTGCTTCCAAATGCATCCATTAGCCTGTAGAGAGCATAAGGACAGACGTCCACAGATGTTCTTGTTTTAGCAACTGTGTAACTGCCTGCCTGTTCAGATCAGTAGGAGGTCTCTCTCTGGGTTACATCCTGTGTATAAAGGTAGGTTAGAAACGTCCACTGTTACATTGATTTAATGGGAGGGAAATGTAAAATAAGGAAACACTTGGCAGTTCTAAGAACAGCTAGTATAAAATAGTTCTTAATGGTTCATAATCATTATTGGTTAAAAGTAGTATGCAGGCAAAGAAAGGCAATACAAGTCGTCCTCATCTTACAGCCACAATTGAGCCCCAAATTTATGTCGCTAAACGAGACAGTTAAGTGACTTTTGCCCCATTTTATGACCTTTCTTGCCAAGTTGTTAAGTGAATCACTGCAGTTGTTAATCACACAATTGTTAAGTGAATCTGGCGTCCCCATTGACTTTGCCCACAAGGGAATCACGTGACATCCGAGACCTTTCATCCGTCATAAATATGAGTCCATTGCCAAGCATCTGAATTTTGATCATATGACTACGGGGATGCTGCAACGGTTGTAAGTCTGATAAATGGTCCCAAGTCACTTTTTTTCAGTGCCATTGTAACTTCAGTCACTAAATGAACGGTTGTCGAGGACTACCTGTATTTGTAAGATATCCAAGTAATTTCTGTTTGAGTTTAGGGTTGTCTTCTGCTTCCACCACTGCCACCTCTGGGGATGCTTTAATTCTATACTGTTGCATGACTGCTACAAAGAAGAATAGAATAGATCTGGAAGGGACCTTGGAGGTCTTCTAGTCCAGCGCCCTGCTCAAGCAGGAGAATCTATACCATTTCAGACAAGTGGCTGTCTAGTCTCTTCTTAAAAACCTCCAGTGATGGAGCACCCACGATTTCTGAAGGCAAGCTATTCCACTTGGTTAATTGTCCTCACTGTTAGGAAGTTTTTCCTTAATTCCAGGTTGCTTCTCTCTTTGATTAGTTTCTAGTCATTGTTTCTTGTCCTGCCCTCTCGTGCTTTGTAGAATAATTTGACCCCCTCTTCTTTGTGGTAGCCCCTCAAATACTGGAATACTGCTATCATGTCGCCCCTAATTCTTCTTTGAGTGAGTGAGTGAAATAGAGAAGGTATGAGTAGAAATGGGTTGATAACTTGTAGTTTTCATCTTGGATATGACCACTAAATCTATTTATTTTTAATATTTATAACCCGTTTTTTTCTCTAGGAGCTTAAGGTAACTTACATGGGGAAATCCTGTGACTTAGATGGGCTAAGACACTGACTGGCCCAAAGTCACACAGTGAGTATCCCATGGCTACAGGTGGACTTG